AAACTCTTATAAGTAAATAACAGAAAGACAAACTCAATTCATAAATGAATAAAGGACCTGAATTCCTTCAAAGAAGATCTACAAATGGCTAATATGCACATGAAAAGATGCTCAATATCATTAGCCTTTAGGAAAATAAAAATCAAAACCACAATGAGATACCACTCCAAACCCATTAGGATGCCTAAATAAAAAGACAAATGATGGTAAGCATGAGTGAGAATAGAGAAATTGGAACCTTCATATACTGCTGGCAGGATGGTTTTGGAACAGCCTCGCAGTTCCTCAAATGGTTAAATATGGCATTGCCACATGATCAGCAGTTTCACTCCTACATATATATCCAAAAGAAATGAAAACATATGTCCACAGTAAAAACTGTCCATGAATGTTCATAGCAGCATTATTCAGAATAGTGAAAAAGTGGAAAGAACTCAAATGTCAATCAACTGGTGAATGAAAAAAAATGTGATACAGTCATACAATAGAATATTATTCCACAGTAAAAAGGAATGACATACTGATACATATTAACATAGATGGATATACATGGATGAACCTTGAAAACACTGTAAGTGAAAGAAGACACTTATAAAAGACTACATGTAACATGATCCATTTATACAAAATGCCCAGTATAGATAAACCCAGAGAGTACATCAGTCGTTGCCAAGGGCTGGGAGACAGAAGAGAATGCGTAGTGACAGCTAGTGCATTTAAGATTTCTTTTTAGGTTGATGAAAACGGTAAAACTCAGACTGTGCTATGCACAGCCCTGTGCATATACCAGAACCATTAAAATATCTATTTTCTAAATGGGTAAATTTTATGCTACGGTTAATTATATCTCAGTGAGGACATTACAAAATGATAATTTCTGTATCGCATAGTCATTATTACCACCACTGCATGAACAAAGGCCTGTAAGGAAGCCTGAGGTTGCCATCAACAACTGCTTCCTCAAGAAAGGGATGTCCAAAGGATAAGCAGGAGGGTGCCAGGCTCGGGGAGAAGGAAAACCACTCCAGGCAGAAGGGATGGTACTGGGAAAAGGTTTGGAAGTGAGAAATTGAATGACAAACATTACCCATTAAATTAGAGAACAATGCAGAGAACTGGCAAGGGAGAAGGCAGAAGATGAGGCAGGCACCAATCACAGAAGGCTCTTGGTAATTACTGAGTGTTAGTAAATTACTGGTGCTGACCTACTACAGTGGAGGGATAGCATTCATAGTTCCATCCTTCACACTCTGTAGCCACTCCATTTGTCACGTGACCTTGCAGTTCCCATCACTAATGAGGCAAAGTCTGTTTTCCCCAGCCTGACCCTGGTGGCTACGTGACTACTTTTTGCCGGTGGAGTCTGAGCAGACCCGAAGTCAGCAGAGTCTTGAAAGGCGCTCATGTGGCCACCTTGGCTTGCCCTTGCACCTTCCTACTGCCTTGAGAATAGGATTTTCAGGGTGGAAGATGCAAGATATGTGGAGAAGAGCTAGTTGTCCCAGTCACCCCAGCTGAGGCCATTCTAGATCAATCATTAATCCATAGCCAGCCAATCCCAGATATGTAAGCAAGAACAGCAAAGACACTCCAGAGCTCTTGCTGGCCCAAAGGTGAACTAACCCAGCCAAGCCCAAGCAGGACCAGCGGACCCAGACCTCCTACACTTAGTGTTTACAGTCACGTGTCACTGGGGTTTTCTGGCTGGGAGTTACTCAGTGTTCTTATGACAGTGATTAACTGATATGCCTACACTACTGTAAAGTGGTGAGAAACCTTCCTAACAGTTAGCTGAACTGGGCTGCGGAACTGACTTTCTCTTAAGGGAGGACAAATGCATGGGCTCTGGAGCCTGATACTCATGACCTGTTCTGCCACTTTGTGCTGGTGTGACTTGAGGCAAGCTGCATTAGCTGCTCCCACCCCCGTTTCCTCATCAGTAACATGGATATTAGTATACTACAGTATAACACTATTGTATGAGGACTGTTTTGAGAATCATGTAAACATTAGCAATTGAGTACGGCACATAATAGGAGCTTGATAAATGTTAGATTTAAGAAAGGCTGAACTTGACAAGGACCCATGACTGAAGAGGAGAATCCCTACCTCTGCACCAGTGTGGGGTAAGGAAGTTTTGGCAGGCAGGGCCAAGATTCTGTTCTAATACTAACAAGGTCCAAAAATCTACCCCATAAATTATTCTAGGCCAAATGATTTGACAGTGTTTTAAGAGCTGATATTGACTCAATGCTCATCTCAGCATCCCATTAAAGCACCTTAAGACCATATGTCCCGGGCAGATACAGAGTGACTGATTAATAGATATGGGGTTTCTATTTGGGGGTGATAAAAGTTTTCTGGAATTAGATAGTGGTAATGGTTACATAATAGTGTGAATATTCAAAAAACCACTATATTGTATACTTTGTAATGGTTAAAACAGCAAATGTTAGGTTATGTGAATTATTCTCAATCAAACAAAAATGAACATATGTCCTTGAGCAACAGTGCAACCAGTTATAACCTGGCAATCACAGGTTAGGGTATGTAAAAAACAACAGGAGATTTTGGCTTTAAAAAAGCTACTTTTTTACCAGCAGAGAATAGATAACTGTACTAATTACCTATAGAGGCCATTCCTAGCTCATGAAAAATAATAGAACCCCATCAGCTATATATAATAGATAGCTCAGATTTTTACTGATGCTTAGTATATGCTAAGCATTCTTAAAGTGGTTTGTAAAAAAATGATTTTCTTAGCAGAGGCACAAGTAGAATTTTGGGTGGGATAGTTCCTCCTTGATTACTGCACTTACTATCTCTGGCTATCCCCTGTCCTTTTTCAACCACCCCAGGTGAGGCCTCACAAAGCTGTGACGTAGGCAATATATTACTAACAAGAACACTGGGGGCAAAGAGGCTGAAGAATTGTTTAACATCACGAAGCTATTATGTGGCGGTGCTGGGGAGTGGTGCGGACAGTGGGACTCTAAGGCTCTCAGATTTCTGTAGCTTCTCAGATTTCTGTAGCTTCCCTGTTTTTCTGTTCTCTATAAAGGGCTTGGTGTGCATTTGCTACATCCAAACATGGCATCAAGTAACTGTAGTAAAAGGAAAAGTTGGCTAGCTCACAACCTCAGCAATGCAGTCAAAGGCCAAAGGGAGAGATCAGGAAAAGCCACATGTTTTCTTTCTATGTTTATAAAAAATTTCTCCATGAGCTATGAGCACAATCACTATTAATAAAGAAATGACTGTGGCTAAATCTCATCTATTATTGTGTGGACACCAACCCAAGGAACTCAGATTAGCGACTTATCCTGGTAGAGAATGGGTACACATTTTACGTGGCAAGTCTAATACCTTATCAGGCCTATAATTTGGCGGGCGTGCTTAGTAACCGCCCTTTTAAGGCCACTCTTGAGTAGGGCCACACAACAGTAGACGCAAAGCCTTAACAAGTTAAAAAAAAAAAAAGCCCAAACCTGGAGCTGTGGCTCCGTTGCAGCCCCCACAGCACCCCGGGTGCTTGATTTCCCAGACTCTTCTGGACTGACTGTACAAGATGTGTGTACATATCATCTGTGTGATGAACTGTACACACAGAGCATGCAGTCAGACCGGCAATTCAGAAAGCTCAAAAAGCCGGAAAGAAAGATACTTCACGGGCTGAATGCTACCTTTAAGTGACTATGTCTCCAATCTGTCCTCGTCACTCAAACAAGCAGCCACAGGCATTCCCACATGGATTTATTAAACCGAAGTTTCCTGAGGCAATGTAAGGTTTATAAAATTATTGTTTTATTAAACCCCCGGGGAGCTTACAGAAACTCGTGTTCCGTGTGTCTCTAGGCGATGCAGAGTTTCGCTTTTTGTTCTTTTTTCCTTTTCCCAGTCAGGAAACTGAGTAGAAAGTCTCTGGTTCTATCTAATTCTTCTTGTCCTTAGAATCTCCCCAGTCCCATCTTGAGTAACAGCTCTTGGGGAAATGTTATGACAGTTACCTTTACAAACTGAACCTAAGATTTCTACTAAAATCTTAGTAAACAGGTTTCCTGATTAAGGTCCCACTAAGCTAATTTTCTTCTATTTAATATGTTACCCCAGCTATTGATCCAGACTTCTGGAACAAACTCCTCCTTTCTTAAATGAATTAGTATCCTTTTGTTACCTTTCTAAACAGATGATGGTAACTTTGAAAAATAAATGCACCGTGATTTCCTCACATCTATGATTCCATTTCCTCACTAATTCAGTTTGGCTTTGCCACTAATTGCTACCCCTCCACTAACCATGTATTTGATGATCAATCTTGACTAACAATTCAAGGTCGGCAGATCTCAACAAGATACTCTGGCTGACTTTACAGTTCTAGTTTGTCTAAGGCTCCATGTGTTATTCTTACACTTCTTTAGGAGTAAGATAAAGATGAAGATAAAAGCAGTGGCAGCCAATACCTACTGAGTCCTTACTAACAAGGCAGTTTTAAGTACTTTATAAGTATTAATCTAACCATACAAAATGTAAGCTATTATTACTCAAATTTTCCAAGTAAGGAATTAATGCACAGAGAAGGTAAGTAAATTGCCCAAGAGTAGAACTAGTATAGAACCAAGCCTAGATCTAAACCCAGCCAGTCTGTCTCCTGGGCTCTCATTCTGAAGCTCTATTGCTATGTTGCCTCTCAATATAAACAAGAATTTACCTCGGAGCTCATAAAATAGAGTTTTACTTAACCAAGCAAACTGAACTACAGCTAAACAAAAACCCAGATTTACAGCCCCTTTCTCATAAGGCAATTTGCAGAGGTTCTAAAGCACAGCAAGAAAAAACCACTTCACTATGTCACACAGAAATCTGAAGCAGGCAATTCTGAGAAAGAATCTTTTGTTTAGCCAACAATGCAGAAGTTCAGCTGAGGCTGCACAAGCACAGTTACACTCATATTCTCCTAATTATGCTGCATGCAATTAAAGACAAGTTTCAGATAGGATTACCTTGTTTTCTTCTAAGTTCCTTTTCAACTTTTCTTCCAGGTCCCTGGTCTCTTCTAAGCCCTTAAGTTTTATCTGCTCATAATTTTCATATGCTTCTTTAAGCTGCTCTTGTAATACTTGGTACTCCTTTTCAATCCGTGAAATTTCTCCCTAAAAGTGAATTGCAAAACAATCTATTAAAAATCATTTAAAATGCCTACTTATGATATTGTTCTTTACTGTTTCTTAAAATAAAGAAGAGTAAAAGGCAGATGAAAATTTACAAGGGAAATGTCACAATAACTCAGGAATTAAAAACCCCTAAATGCTGGTTAGCAAAACCAGCTCTTTGATAAACACAATCATTCATATTACTGGAATTCATAAATTCTCCAATCTATACTATAATTAGTTCTGAATATTTGTTTTAGAAGGGTTCAGTATTAGATCAACAGTTTGATTAAAATGTCACTCTCCACAATTAACACCAAAGATTATTTATTAGGTTTAAAAAGCTTGCACATATTACACATATTTTAGTTATAAACAGAATATATTAACTTTGGCTTTAAGTGTTTCAAATAAATAGTTGCTGGTTATTTCAAAAGACAAATTAAAATATTATAAATGAATTATTGTCAATTATGTTTCCTTTTGTTTTTTTTTTTTTTTGAGATGGAGTCTTGCTGTGGCCCAGGCTGGAGTGCAATGGTACGGTCTTGGCTTACTGCAACTTCTACCTCCCAGATACAAGCGATTCTCCTACTTCAGCCTACAGAGTAGCTAGGACTACAGGTGCACACTACCACACCTGGGTAATTTTTGTATTTTCAGTAGAGATGAGGTTTCACTATGTTGCCCAGGCTGGTCTCGAACTCCTGACCCTATGATCCGCCCACCTCAGCCTCCCAAAGTGCTGGGATTACAGGCATGAGCCGCTGTGCCTGACCGTCAGTTATGTTTCTTGCACCAGCTTAACAACAAAAAATTGCAGTGAGCCGAGATTGCACCATTGCACTCCAGCCTGGGCGACAGGACGAGACTCTGTCTCAAATCAAAAACAAAAACAAAACCCAAAGCCAGGCTTTGGAAATCTACCCCAGGCACAAACCTGATCCACCTATGACATCTCCTGTACCTTCCCCCAATACCTTAGCATCTTTCAAGTATAAAAAAGCAGGAAATCAAGTATTTGAATCTCTACGAAGATCAGTTAGAGAACTGTGAATTATGGTCAGATTGACCATCCATGCCAGTTTGCTGTGGACCATGCCACTTTGTCTGCCCAAACTGAAAGTTTAGCGCTATAGAGTCCATGTTTAAATAAATTAATTAAGCAGTCAACCTTACTATCATCCAGGAGCAATACTTTATAGTTTAAGACCTTAATTACTTCTATTTTAATTCTTGATTCAGCAAAAGGATCACAGTGAATAGTAACTTGCTATCATGAATGAATTTTTATGTCCCAAATCACCAAAAGAGTCAGGCAGGAAGCTAGACGCTGCCTCTGTTATTACATTTAAACTTCACCATACTTCTGTAAGAAATACATTATTTTTGCCTTTAATAGATCAGAAAACCAGATGAGGCAACCTCTCAAAGTCCCAGGAAAAAGTAGCAATGCTGGGATTCAAATGCAAGTCTCACTAGTTAAGAAGCCAGCAGTCAACTATACTAGCATCAAGGTCCTAAAACTAAGAGCTAATTTAAGAACGCATTTGTGAATGGTCCCATCACTGATAAAAGCATTTATTTGAGGGTCAAAAGCACTGACTCATTAAATAACAGAACCTATCTGGTTTAAAGCTAAGTACAGCCTAAGACTTCAACAAGACTAAACAGGCAAAAATGTTCACTATAGCACTGTTTGTAAGCATAAAAAACTAACATAATTTAAATGTTCAACAATAAGAAATTGGTCAAATAAATTATCACATATTAATAAAATGGAAAACCAAGTATCCATTTAAAATGATGCTATAAATACTATTTACTGATATGGAAACAAGTCTACAATATATTAATTGAAGGCTGAAAACTTCAAATACAAGATATATGCTGTGATCCCATCTTTAAAAAACTATTGTTTAATTATATATAAACATTCAAACAGCCTGAAAGGCTACACATCAAAATATTAACATGGGTCATGGGAAGGTAGATGATTTTCAATTTCTCTTTCATAATTTTTGGTTCATCTAAAATATTTAAGGACTCTATGTTTATAATTAGCAAAAACTAAAGGCTATTTGTACACATAGCAGCAGGAAACACAAAGGTCTGACCTATCTACTTAACTAGACATTGGTCTTGTCAATCATTCCGTATCTAACTATAGAACTGCTTTTTAAATGACAGCATATTTCATTTTATAGCTATATTATAATTTAATTAGTCTACTATTGATGGAGGTTTAGACTGTATTCAATTTTCTGCTGATACAAATTCAGACAAAACAAACTACAAATACCCTTGGCTCACTGGTCTCTCTACACATATGAGTACAGATCGATTCCTAACTGCCTTCCAAGAAATTTCAGCTTCACTATCTTTCAAAATGTGAATGAATGCTTTTCTTATTTCAAGTGGGGTGGGCATCTTTTTATATGTTTAAAAATAATTTCTTTCATTGTGAATTCTATTCACATCCCTTCTCATCTTTGTGACAGGTGGTTCATCTTTTCCTTACTGATTTATAGAAACTTTGTATGTAAAGGAAATTAGTTCTGTCTCATGCTGCACATAATTTTCCTTGTCATCTGTGTTTTGACATGTGTATGTGTATGCATTTGTTTTTACATATATGCTATGCATACAGGATATACACATTACATGCATGTATGTATATAAACACACTTTCTTTCCCATGCGTCCCCTTTTACTGATCTTATAAAAGATTTTTCCCAGCTGGGCACAGTGGCTCATGCCTGTAATCCCAGTGCTCTGGGAGGCTGAGGCATGCAGATCATGAGGTTATGAGTTTGCGACCAGCCTGGCCAATGATGAAACCCCATCTCTACTAAAAAATAAAAAAATTCGCTGGGCATGGTGGTGTGTGCCTGTAGTCCCAGCTACTCAGGAGGCTGAGACAGGAGAATCACTTGAACTCAGGAGGCGGAGGTTCTAGTGAGCTGAGATCGCACCACTGCACTCCAGCCTGGGCAACAGAGTGAGATTCTGACTCAAAAAAAAAAGAAAGAAAATTCCCATTTTTTCCTGGATACTTTTATAGGTCCATTTTTTTATGCTAAAATCTTTGATCTCCCTGGAACTTATTTTGGTATAAGAAATGAGGTAGGGACTAAAATTGATTTTTTCTAGATGGCAATCCATTTCTCCTATGTATTTAATAATCTATTTTTTGCTCACTGATAATTTACCATCTTTATTGACTGATTGATTGACTGAGATGAAGTCTCACTCTTGTCGCCCAGGCTGGAGTGCAGTGGTGAGATCTTGGCTCACTACAACCTTCACCTCCCGGGTTCAAGCAATTCTCCTGCCTCAGTCTCCCAGGTGGCTGGGATTACAGGCTAATTTTTGTATTTTTAGTAGAGATGGGGTTTCGCCATTTTGGCTAGGCACTCTCTTATTAATAGTCTATGTATGAGGTAATATAGATTTATATTGTGTTTTGATATTTAGTTGTATAACTCCCTTTCTTAGAGTTTCTCTTCCATATCCATTCTTGATATTCATTTTTACATATGAAGTTTAGAATCAACCTGTCTAGTTTCAAATTAACCCTGTGCAGTAACCAAGCCTCTTGGTATTCACGGCCTTGTACAGACCTCTCTTACCATGTGTCAGGGTTGGTGGGTTGGTCTATGTGACCAAGAGAATGCAGCAGAAGTGATGATTTGTGACTTCATAAAGCATTGCAACTTCTGGGATCACACTCTCTGGAAAAAGCCAGCCCCATGAGATCAAGCAGAACCACGTGGAGGTCCACAAGGCAAGGAACTGAAGCTTCCTGCCAACGGGCCAACACCCATTTGCCAGCCATGTAAGTGAGCCATCTTGGGAGCAGAACCTCTGGCTCCAGTTACTCCTGCAGATGACTGAGCCCTCGTCAACATCTTAGCTAATCCTATGAGAATCTCAAGAACCATTCAGCCAAACTGCTTCTGAATTCCTGACCTAGAGAAATTGTGAAATTTCACAATTGTGAAATGTTTACTGTTTTAAGCCACTAGGTTTTGAAATTGTTTGTTATATATATATAGCAATACATAACTAATTTGCCCTGTTTATGTATACACTGGAGTTGTGTTAAATTTTAAAAAGCTTTAGGGAGAACCAATCTCGTCATCATAATAGATGTTCTTATCCAAGTACGTGAAATATCTTTTCATTTAAGGCTTTTATGTGTCTCTCTGTAGTATTTTAAAATTTTCTTTACATATATTTAATTCTTTTATCTCTTGGTATTGAAAATATTTTCTTTCAATACACTTTCTAACAGGTAACTGCTTGTATATAAAAAGGTACATCCAATTACCTTTTTGAATTCTCTTACATTTTAGTACAGGTTTTCAGTTGATCACTTTGGATTTTTCTGGTACACAGACTTAGCCTCTGTAACGCTTCACCATTAAGCAAGATGATGGCTTTTGGGTTAAAATATTAGCATGTTGAGAAATATTCATCAATTCCCATTTTCTTACTAGTTTTGGTCAAGACAGTGGCCTGAATTTTATCCAATACCCTTTCAGCAACTTTGAGTTGATAAGACAACTTTTCTCTTACGATATATAGTAACAAAGTAAATTATATTGGTAGGTTTTCTAATTGAATCATCATTATAGTAGAAACGGTCTTTAGAATATTTTTCTGTATTATTCACATGAATAAGCTTCCTTATAAATTATTACATGCTCATTATACCAGTTAGAACAATAAAGCGGGCCACCCTGGGCAACAGTGAGACTATCTCAAAAAAATAATTAAGATAAAATTAAAGTAATAAAAAATTTTTTAAATAATAAATGAAACAAAACAATAAAGCTATTATACTTTAAAATAAATATGCTGGAAAAAAACTTGCCTTTTCCTTCCCTTCTCAAATTTCAACAATAAAAATCATTTTTGTGTTATGTTCTCACGCTTATTCCATGATAACTTTGTGTGGATTAAGCTGGCTCCAAAATAGTTCTAGTTCATCATTCCATCTAGATAAATTAACGAAAACTAAACCTTTAAACAGTTCAAGATAATTTTGACTCACTTGATGTTCCTCAAAAGGGTTATATGGCTCAGTATTGACTTCTTTGTGTGCTATGTTCCAGGATACCTGTGGGGCAAAACAAAAAATTAAAATTCAGTTTGTCTCAACTGCTCTAGTAAAATAAACCCATCATGTAGTAACACTTTAAACACACACAATTTTTTAAAGTTTTTTTTCCCCATTTAGATCATGTTCCATGTTTCTGTAAACATGTATATTAGAAAATTATTTAGAGTTAGCGTAACTGTAAATGATTTTGATCCATTGCTCTTAACATATTTTTTTCAAAGCTTCCTAGAAAACAGAAAACATAACGAGGAGTGGGGAAACTCAATAAGGATTTAATGAATTCATACCCTATAAAGGCAACTACAGAGGAATCCTGAGTTAGTCTCCTGCTTGTTAGGAAGGAACTCGTTCATACACATCCCTCTTGTTTCCCTCTATCTGGCTGTCTCTTTTTAACATTCTCATTCCTCCCCTGCTTTGACAGGAGACGCTGGGCATGTGTAGGCCAGGGTCTTCCTTTTTTCCTTCTCTGAGGAGCGGCCAGCACATTTTCCCTTCCTCCTCCATGCAGTAAGTCTTATGGGGCAGGCACCCCATGCTGGAAGGCCTCCGGGTGGGCCTCCTGTAACTGGCAGGTAAGGTGCTGTGATGCAGGCTACACTACCAGCTAGCACCGGAACTTTCCGACAGAAACAGCCACCTCCTCCTCTGGCACCTTTGTTAATTCTTAGGATGACGTTTTGGCTCCACCTGCTGTCTTATTTCTCAATGTGTGTAGAATTTCAGTAGCAAAGACGGGTATTACTGACCCTAAACTTCTTTCTAAGAGGATTACGTGTCACGCCTCATAGAATAGTTCATATTTTAAAAATGTTTTCAGGCAAAAGCTTCAGTAACCATTATAAAGTCAATCAACTTTAAGGATTTTTGTAAATACAATGGCAATGAAAAATGAGAAGAAAAATTTAACTTCAGTATTAAGAAGACTTTTCTATTTAAGTCTCACCTGTATGGCAACCATCTGCATGTGTGGAATATTTGTTACTGTGCTGGTGTTTTCTGGAAGGACTTCAAATTTGTTGTTAGAATTGCCACAGTGCCCATCATTTCTGTTAGACTCACTCAGGACTGTATCAGCATCACCTGTGCTGCACTGTGACTTTACAGATATTCCCGAAGAGGCGTCAAGGATCTGTGTTTCGGAGGCAATCTGGTGACGAGCAGCATTCTCAGCATTCAAATGATGACCCTCAAAATAGGCAGCAGCATTTTTATCTGCTCTGTCATTGGCTACAAAAGACGGCACCACTGGTATTGATCTTGGCAGCGGATATTCAGGAGGAAGGCTGGCCAAGGGTGTATATATGCTGGTGTACTGGGGCAAACCTGGTAACACGTTTATGTATGCTGGCGGTGTCTGGGTGATGTCAAATCCCTGGAAAGGAAGATACGTACAGTATCCTGTGACCAAATGGGATTGTGCCCAATAAGTTGGTTTCATATCCTCAAGAAGCGGTTTGGGAGAATTAGAGGAGAGTCGCTTGTAATTTGCATCCTCAGAGACTGGTTTGGGAGAATTAGAAGAGACCCCTTTGGGTTTCCCATCCTCAGAAACTTGTCTAGAAGAATTATTGGATACCGGTTTGGGCTTCACATCTTCACAAGCTGGTTTGGGAGAATTTGCAGACACAGGTTTGGGTTTCACAGCCTCAGAAGCTGTTGCTGAAGCTGTATCGGACACTGGTTTAGATTTTACATCTGGTTTAAATTCCCTAGCAGCTGGATTCAGTGGTAGTCTAACTCGTAAATACTCTCCTGTTTTTGAAATTTCTTCTACTTTTGTTTTAATGTTTTTCTTCTTTCTTTTTTTCTTGAGCCGTAACGCAACTTTCTTCAATGCAATACAGTTGTCGATCACCACAAAACGAGGACATCCCAAGAGGAAAGATTTTAAGCCTCCTGCTTTTTCTAGTATCTGTCGAGTTTCTTCTGGGAAAAACTCATATTCTTCAGAGAACATCTTGTTACTCATGTCCAAGGGACCATGTTCCTCCAACAACTGAGAGAAGTAACTTGGAAAAAATTTACATATACATGAGTTACTATAAGGAATTTCTTGAATATACTTATTAAAAAAAAAAAAAACTTGTATTCTCCCAAAGCAAAACATTGTTTCACTTTTCCCCAAGAACAAATATAACAAACATAAGGTTAACTGCAATCAATGATACTATAAAGAAAATTTTGTCTACCTCCTAGAAAATGATCATTTAAAACTTTTTTGGGGGAAAAGCAAGAGGGAATCAAAAAGTTATAACTTTCAACTATGTAATTACATAATTTATTCTAAAAACAACAACAAAAAAGTAAATTTATTCAGAAAAAATAACAATGCCAATGATAAGAATTTTAAATAAAAAGAGAAAATCAAATCTCAAAAGCAAATCCTATTCAAATTTGTAAATAGTAAGTCTATTAAATTTTTTGTTTAGAAATATTCAGTGATTCACAGGGAGTGAAATTAATTATGTCTGATCAATAAACCAAGATAGTTCAAGATCCAGATCCACAGTAATGGGCCCTTAGTCTGACTCCAGCTCTGAACCAGGTTTTTTCATTTCCCTTCTGAGTCTAGCTATTTTCCCATTCTTGCATCAAGCTCAAGGAATCAGGCTCAAATAAATTCTGTATTCACTCTTTAACAATGGCATAACGAGTAGCATGAAAGTCACAACAGGCACCACTAACACGGGTTTTTCAAGAACAAAAAGCCTCCAAAGTAGCTTTCTTAGTAAATTAATGTTAACAAGGAGGATAATTTATTTATAAGGAAAGTAAAGGCAGCACTTCTTTGAGGCAAGAGAAAATCACTTTATGTGCAGATGCTGCTGCAGATAATTGCGTGAGACAGTTAAAAATAACCTCTAGCCGGGCGCAGTGGCTCAAGCCTGTAATCCCAGCACTTTGGGAGGCCGAGGCGGGTGGGTCATGAGGTCAGGAGATCAAGACCATCCTGGTCAACATGGTGAAACCTCGCCTCTACTAAAAATACAAAAAATCAGCTGGGTATGGTGGCGCGCGCCTGTAATCCCAGCTACTCAGGAGGCTGAGGCAGGAGAATTGCCTGAACCCAGGAGGCGGAGGTTGCGGTGAGCCGAGATCACGCCATTGCACTCCAGCCTGGGTAACAAGAGCGAAACTCCGTCTCAAAATAAATAAATAAATAAATAAAATAACCTCTATTTGCTCACATCTGTAATCCCAGCACTTTGGGAGGCCGAGGCAGGTGGATCGCGAGGTCAAGAGATCGAGACCATCCTGGCCAACATGGTGAAACCCCATCTCTACTAAAAATACAAAAATTAGTTGGGCGTTTGGCACGCGCCTGTAGTCCCAGCTACTCAGGAGGTTGAGGCCGAAGAATTGCTTGAACCCAGGAGGCAGAGGTTGCAGCGAGCTGAGACTGCATCACTGTGCTCCAGCCAAGCGACAGAGTAAGACTCCGTCTCAAAATAAAATAAAATAAAATAACCTCTATTGGAAGTAATACCTGATAAAAACCAAATGCCACTTTTGTCTGTACTCCTGCCCTACATACTTAAAAGTCATCCAAAAATCTCTTTCAATGTGTTTTATGATGAATATTTTTCTCTCTGAATAATCTCTACAATTGAAACTTCTCTACATACATGCTGTTTTGTAAGGTGAGGTAAAATATGGCCTAAGATAACCATCCAACTTCCTTTTTCATAGAGAAATCTCTAAAAGCAGAAGGGGCTCAGGGAGAGTAAGGTTAAAAAGAAATAAAGCATTGTGGTCTTAGAACAGTCATCTTTGTTGAGTATTTTGGCTGACTGGTATAAATAACCTTGGCTCCCACCATTTGTTTAAAGGGACACCCCTTCCCAGTCACTGTTAAACTGCCAGAAGCAACAGCAGAATAACTGATGAATGGCATATGCACATTTATCTTTTTTTTTCTTCCCCTGGAGACGGAGTCTTGATTTGTCGTCAGGCTGGAGTGCAGTGGCATGATCTCAGCTTATTGCAATCTCCAAATCTTGGGTTCAAGTGATTCTCCCACTTCAGCCTCCTGAGTAGCTGGGATTACAGGTGCACAACACCACACTCAGCTAACTTTTATATTATTAGTAGGAACAGGGTTTCACCATGTTGGCCAGGACGGTCTTGATCTCCTGACCTTGTGATCTACCCATCTTGGCTTTCCAAAGTGCTGGGATCACAGGTCTGAGCCACCACGCCTGGCTCACATTTACCCTTTTTAAAAAAATTAAAGCGAGGCAGGAGAATTGCCTGAACCCAGGAGGCGGAGGTTGCGGTGAGCCGAGATAGCGCCATTGCACTCCAGCCTGGGTAACAAGAGTGAAACTCCGTCTCAAAAAAAAAAAAAAAAAAAATTAAAGCATCTGCTGGACTGTATAGTTTTGCTCTCCATAATGAATATTAAAGAGCATCATTGAAAAATAAAGCTTTTCTAACTGGATTAAAACACATGAATGTGAACTATGGTAACTAAAGAACAGAGATCACATGAAAGGAAACTAGTCTTAGTAACTTAGCAATGGAGTGAAAGCCACAGGGGGGATTAGCGACACAAAGGCTGATGAAGGCAAACAGTGAATGTTATGTTCCTGAAGAATATTAAAGGATATGAAAAAGCACCATGCGTTTTTAGGTGAAAAAGGCAAATGAAGATTGAGTATGTAAGTAAAATCACAGCTGGAAACTTTAAAAAATGTTTTACACATATACATTTTATGTCTGAAAGAATATGTACCAAAAGTTAACTGTGGTTGTATCTGGGTGGTACAATTATTCAGAATTTAAATTATTTTCCTTTAGAGTTTTTAGAAAATTCCATAAAAATTTGTATTACTAATTTTACAATCAGAAAAAAATATTTATCAAGGACTTAGAGCCTCTACATTTCCCCGCTGGCTACAGAGCAACATATTTTTCATACATTCAGGCAGAGCAATATTTAACTCAACAAGGGTCCCTAGTCCAAACAGAAATGGTACTAAACTGTACTGTGAATTACATATTTACAGTTACTGTTATTTGAAATGCAACACAAAGTAAACTTTACATTTAGACTTCTCTAGGCCTTGAAAAGTAAGCTCAATAAGATAAACATCGGATCCAAAATAGTACAAATATTTCTTCATAATCTAGTGTTTTACTGGGGTAAAATCATTCCACCAACAAACTGAACTAATGCTGATATATCTGTTTAGTAGACAGAAAAGAAGCTAAGGCTGTAACAAAAGATGCTAAACACAAGTGAAATGATGGGGCTTACATGACCATTTTAGTTTAGGCTGGGTTATGAAATTTATCTCCCTTCCCATTAATTGGCCCCTTCAAAGTCTCAGATGCCAGTAAGGCTGGTATTCCTGTACTTAAGAATCAGAAGCATACAAGGCACGGTGGCTCAAACCTGTAGTCCCAGCACTTCAAGAGGCCAAGGCAGGAGGATTGCTGAAGCCCAGGAGTTCAAGACCAGCCTGGGCAACACAGAGATACTTCATCTCTACAAAATTTTTAAAATTAGCCAGGTGTGCTGGTGCATGCCTGTAGTTCCAGCTACCCTGAAGGCTGAGGCAAGAGGACCACTGAGTAAGTTGTGATCATACCACTGCACTCTAGCCTGGAAAGAGCAGAAACTGTCTCAAAAAAAAAAAAAAAAAAAAAAAAGAACTAGAGGCAAAAAACTGGTCACACTGTACATAACAGAAGCAAATAAATAAAGCCAATTACACCAGAGATATTAAAAGCTGCTATGTATATATGTATATGTTTCTATGTGAATATATAACATCTTCAAACTTTGATGATGACCATTTGTGTCTTAAACAGTCATAAATGAACTTTCAGAATGCTAGTCACTAAAATTTCAGAATGTCACTGTCAGCACAGGGGAAAGGATAGGGAAAAACATTTGAAAAGCACTCCCATCCTCCTACTCTGGAAGTACCTCTTTGAAAAATCACCATTTTGTACATGATCATAATTCTTATTTCTGAATGTCATTTTTATTTGCTATATACTATAATTCTTTCAATGATCATCTTGCTCTCCTGTGATGCTGCAGGCTGCACAACAGGACTACACATTCCACGTTTTCTGGAATTTGCAGCAGTACTTAACCATGTGTGGTTAATATATCCTGACTGACTAGTACCAGTAAAGTGGCGTTAGGAAAAACTAAATGCAGAATAATTTGCTTCAACTATCTAAATCCTAAGTAGTATAACTAGAAGGGGCCTTTAAAAATAAATTTGTCTGGTTCTCTATTTTAAGATGAAATACTAAAGTCAACAGAAAGTTAATTTGTAGCAGTTATCCCAGCATTCTTGACTCCTTGATCCACAGTTAGTATCTTTCTACTCTACACTCTCTTCAGATACCAACGTTTAGTTTCATTTTTCTCTTTCATCCATTGGCCAATAAAACAAATCTTCCATCTTATGCTATCATATTTTTACTTTTGAAAATTCAAAGAATTATGCTTTAAAATGTAATTTCCTGTAACTTCTTGGTTTTCTACTATTATAAGAAATAAATTCCATCTTAAAATACAAACAAATCAGTTTTTATTCTCATAAAGTTGTTTAATTTCTTCCCACTTATAATGACAACAAATTCTTTAAGAGATAAGCTACTGAAAACTAAACACTTCAGCTTTACTTCTGGATGCCTGAAGCAAATTCTAGCATATTTTAAGAAATAACAGTATAATTTTCCAGTTGTTTCCACACTGTCATCCAGGAGTTCTCTGGAAATATGATTTGCTCAGCATTTCAACTCTAAAAAAAAACCATGAAGAAGGATCTAAGAGCACAAAACTAAACAGGAATGATGCAATGGAGGAATACAGAAGGAAGGACCATATGGTGGATATGGTACCGACAGGACTTACAGGAGAAGAGTTTGCTTTTAAATTAATATTATATTACAGAGCTTAGCCTCGATTCTTTTCTTAAAAGGAGGTCTTCATACACTATTTAATAATGCAAAGCTCAAAATGTTAAGCTATTTCTGAGATTTTCCTGAATTTTTTTACTTGATTGTTTTAGCCACCTCACTCAATATTGACTTAGTAGCTCAAACTGACAAAATCAATAATCATTAGGACTCTAAATTTAATGATTAAAAATCTTCAGGGCTGGATGTGGTGGCTCATACCTATAATCTCACCACTTTGGAATGCCAAGGTAGACAGATCACTTAAGGCCAGGAGTTTGAGACCAGCCTGGCCAACATGGCAAAACCCCTTCTCTACTAAAAATACAAAAATAAGCCAGGTGTGGTAGTGCAAGCCTGTGATTCCAGCTATTCCGGAAGCTGAGGCATGAGAATCACCTGAACCCGGGAGGCCGGAGTTGTAGTGAGCAGAGATTGTATCACTGCACTCCAGCTTGGGTGACATGGCATGACTCTTGTCTCAAAAAAATAAAATAAATCCTCCATTAACTCTGGGTTATATGTAGCAAAATCTCTAAAAACAGCACAAATTAAACAACTTCTGATCTTCAATTAGCAGCCTCAGTTTAAAACAATGGTTGTAAAAATTTCAACCCACTTACTCATATAGAGTCGAACATTTTTGTTTTGGGTTAATGTCCCAAAGCTTCTTATTGCGGACAACATATTCATTACTGTGTTGGTCATAGAGAGCTTCAAATTCTTCTACGTCTTGTCGAAGATGGTCAGGCACTGCAAATGGGCCTGCAGAATCTGAATTTCGATTGCTGGTAAATAACAACAAAAAACACCCAATTTTGTGAATGATAAATCTTTTATTATTTAGCCAGAAGAATGTTTAACTGAAATAAACACAATAATGGCAATATATATATATATATATATATATATATATATATATATACACACACATCACCGGAAAACTTAAGTGTAGAAAAGTTACCCTTCCACAGTTATAGTCAAGCAGTATCATATCCGACATTCTAAGTAATCACTTTCAATTAATTAGTCTTGCTCCAAGAGCAAAATTCTTAAAACTCCATATTTTTTTAAAATGTTGCATTCATTTTAACTTGTTAAATGATTGAAAGACAAATAAAGATTTTATTATAACTGCTATTAAGTTAAAGTGAGACTGAGACTGGTAAATGGTACTAAAAAAAGTGTTTTTAAATATAAGAAGTTAGCAATCTAAAATTATGTAGTAGTTTGAGTGTGAGCTCTAAGACCAGGCTGCAGCTCTGCTATTTATAAGCTTTGTGTTCTTGGGCAAGTTGCTCTGTACTATGCCTCAGTGTTTCCTTTTCTGTACCTCGTAGGCAGGATCAGTGCATTAAATGAGTTTATATACGTAAACCCCCTAAAACAATGCCTGATATGTAAGAGTTAATCTCAGTAAAGGCTATGTTATGTTCTGAGCGTTTGTGTTCTTGCAAAACTCTATGTTGAAGCCTAATCACCAATGAGATGGTGTTAGGATGTGGATTCTTTGGGAGGTAATTAGGTTCTGTCCCATGAATGGGATTAGTGCCCTTATAAATGAGGCTCCAGAAAGTTGCCTTGTCCTTCCAGCATGAGAAAACACAGCTAGAAGGCACCAACTATGAACCAGAAAGCAGGCCCTCACCACACACTGAATCAGTCAGTAGCTTGATCTTGGACTTCCCAGCCTCCAGAACCATGAGAAATAAATTTCTGTTTGTAAGCCTCCCAGTTTATGGTATATTGTTATAGCAGCCAAAACTGACTCAGACAGACTATGATTTTAACTTAAAACAATCACCCTACTTAAGGAATCCATGAAAATGACTATGTAAATTTTTAACAGTTCTGACAGCTCCTTTAAGAAATGTGAAAAAAAAAACCCATTTTTGGTTCATAAAGGAATATGTTATAAAACAGTTACTGCTACTTACTAGTTTTATTCCTTAAATATTTGTTTCTTGAAAACTGTTTCAACATCCAAATGGCAATGAAAATCACTAATATATAAGGTGAAACCATATCATACACAGCTCCCAAAACAGCTTCCTCTCTATTACAGCAAAAATGCACTATTAACAGGACATTCTCTTCATTGACTATTTTCAAAAAAAAATCTCTAGACATTTTTCTAGGATTTTCCCACAGAGCCTTGCACAAGGTAAGTTCTGAATATGGACTTAGTGAATGAATGTCACCAGTCTTGTGACTTTAACACAGTTTGAATGAATTCTTAATGCCTACTGGCCATTTATGTAAATTTAATCAAGACAGAATTACATCAGGTTGTCAGATGCACAGCTTTAGAAAGGAAGTTATGGAAATAAAACACAAGTTTATATACATTAAACTAACACAATTTATTAAGTAAAGAAATTTAAGTTAAAATGAGGCAAAAACTTCAAAATTATACTTACTTATGGTCTTCGCTCGAAGTGATGATCTCATTATTTGAAGTTACTGAAGTTGTTCCAGACCCAACTAACATAGGCTGGTTTAAAAGAAAAATGACAATGATTTTCTACCTTAAAATTGCATTAAAGTAAAAAAAAAAAAAAAATTAAAATTGATGAATGCTTATATAAGCATACATACAAACTGCTAATATATAAGATCTATCCAAATTTTCTTATAAACAGGAACACATAGTAATAAACGTTTCAACAGCCAAAAATAAGCTCAAATTAACATTTAGAGTAGTTTCCAATGCTCCAAAAAAAAACTTTAAATGTCACTCAGTTTAAACTCCCATTTTATCTAAACTAAATACATATAGTCAAAGATAAAAATAAAAGTTACATTGGAACTCCTCAGCTGTTCTCATCCTTTCAAGACTTGCCACTCTCTCACACCCCTTCCCTCTTTTTGCTCCCCACATACACAAGAGCCATGAAGAACCCACCATGAGATTTAAAAATTATGCCCTACTCTGGCACAGTGGCTCACGCCTCTAAGGCCAAGGTGGGCAGATCGCTTTAGCACAGGAGTTCTAGACCAGCCTGGGCAATATAGCAAAACCGCATCTCTACAAAAAATACAAAAAATTAGGTGGGTATGGTGGTATGCACCTGTAATCCTAGCTATTCGGGAGGTTGAGGTGGGAGGATCACTTGTGCCTGGGAATTTGAGGCTGCTGTGAACCGTCACTGCACCACCATTCTCTAGCCTGGGTGACAGAAGGAGATCCTATCCGAAAAATAAAAATAAAAATACCCTACTTATCTCATGGGCTTGCAGGAGAACCTTCGGTGAGAGGAAGAAAGGGATTCTATCAAGATTAGTATTGATCACTTTTAGTTTAAATAAGTTATCATTTATGAGACTTATTTATTTTTGGGGACATTATGACAATTTTTTTTTTTACTCAGAAATAGCTAAAAAATAAAAAGGACAACAAAGAATACAAGTCTCAAGACTCCTATTATATAAAAAGAACCTGGAATTTCTTCAATATGTAGAAGACTGCCAAAACATCTTTAACGGCTTGAAAGTCATTCTCTATAAAATATTTCAAAACAAAAAAAAAAAAAAAAAAAAAAAATTTCAAAACATCCCAAGAATTAGTTAATTCTAATTTATATGTCCAACTAACTATTTTGGAGAATTTAGACAAAAATTAATACAGAAAATACTCCATACCTTTGAATCCTTTGGCTTCTTTTTCTTGCCTTTGTTTTTCACCTTGGTAGAACTAAACTGAAAAATGAGGGGAATAAATCAGTGAACACTCAAATAACAGCATTATGAAGCTCAACATAAAGAAACCATATTGGTTTTCATAGACTAGTCATAAGTTAAATGTATATAAAATGTTTAACAAAAATAACACTACAGTGTATCAGCCCAAGTACTATGATTTATAATAGAAAATAAGCAAAAATTTAATAATACCTAATGTTATAACTAAAATTAAATTGTTCCAACATTCTTGTTTTCCACAGGGTTGGAATGTTATTTTAAGTAATTAACCAGACTTTTAAGTAATTCCAGTCATACGCTATAATCGTATTATTAATATGTTTCGTTTACTAAGCCAAACTAGACATTCTGCACCTGCCAGACACTGGGGCACAAACAGTGAATGAAGACGCCGTCAGCTCCTTGCAGAATATGTCAGCTGTGTTTCCCTGCTTAGCCTGGCAGTATTTTGATGGAGCAGATTAAGACAAAAGTTCATATAGATAGCTAATTTGCTCCTGATAATAAGTAAACAGGTATCTTTCTCTTTGAAAACTGCCACAATGCTATGCTTTTCTCTATTTAATCACTTTCCTAAAACTGAAGAATTTCTGAAAAAAGAATAAAAGGCAACTGCAAACCACTGAGGAAGACAACACTGGAACTGTTTGAACTTAAATTCAATTAAGAGACACTCGAAACGAAGTCCCTTTGTCTTCCTTCTACAGCAAAACATTAAAACTTTAATTATTAAAGATAACTTTTCATTTTTATGCCAGGAGATGAAGAACTCTTCCTTAATTAGAATGTTAATGTTTACCAGCTCTGAAACTTTATGGAAATTGTCTAATTTAAGCCTCAGAGTTTGCTGATTATTGCTCCAATTCCAGGAGGAAGACCAGCAATGACTTTCTAATGAAACAGTACACACTACTGAATGTCCTTTTAATGTGGTTCTTGAATACTGCCTGTGATGTCAATAAACAATGGCCTGGGTCCCCCTCTAGTCCTTGGTTTAACACAAATTAGAACGACTGAGTAACTTACCGGTGCTTCACCACTGTCTTGTTTCCTTAACACAGTACAGCGGCTGTCTGTAGGAATATACAGATGGTTTCGTGAGGGAACTAAATATTTACATTTCCATACAATACACCAAAGCCTTTAAAACTACTCCTGATAGTACTGGCATCGACCATGCTCTATTCCTTACTTGGCTTTGACACAAGTGTAGTTTAGAAACCAAGGGCAAAAGCGCTGACTAAATGGGAAACCAACTACAAAGACCATAAAACTTCAACCCGATTCAGCAGAGTTTGAGTGCCTTCTCGGTGCCATCTACTGGGAATACAGATGAGACGCACAAAACAGTCCCTGCTATCGGTGAACTCCTGTTCTACTGTCAGAAAGAGAGACAGACAAACACCTGTAACCCAGTGTGCTAAGTACCACACGCAACACAAGGCAACAAAGCTCACAGAGGACTCAAGTCTGCCGTCTGCACGGGAGGCCCATGGGCGAAACAAGGGGGACTCTGAGGAGAAAGGGACATTTAAGTTACTCTTGAAATGAATGAGCAAAGGGATCCGGCATGGCTCGGGGAACCAGACGAGCAAACAGGAGGCAGGAAGGCACAGGGCAGCTTTGGGCACAGTCAGAAGCGGGGTGTGTGCTTAGAGAGAGAGGATGAACCCAGACCCCAGACAGACGATGTGAACTTAATTTGGAAGTAAAACTAATGTTTCCCAAATCGAATAGTTAACAGAATCAGACAGATGTTCTACAAGAGTCACTAACATAAGAGGAAGATAAAGAGTGGGAGGGTCTAGAGGAATGGAGACCAGTTTGGAGGCTACTACCGTAATGGTCTAACTATGGAAAGACAACCAAGGTCCTGGCCTTGGGAAGTGGGATGGACAGGAAAGGACAGATCAAAGACAAAGCTCATTTGGACGGATGACAAAGAAGTTATACTATTAATACAGAAAAGAAAGAATTGAGACTAATTACAGGGCTTCCTGCTTAAACACTAGATATACAATGTTAGTGACTGAGAGAAACTGAGGAAGAACAGGTCTCAGGATGTGACAGGTGGGTTCAGTCATACTGCTTTCAGGGGCCCTTTGGCTGTCTCATAGAAATACCCTAGGGAATCATGCATGACAGAGGTGAGGGGAAAAGTCGGGGCTCTCAATTATTACTGCAGTGGTGATGCTGTCCATCTACAAGATCAGTGTATTTTGAAAAGTTTTAAGAAATATAACCATTCTTTTAAATAAAGAGATAAAACTGAAAATGTCTGGGATGAAGGCAGAAGGCTACTGGACTTGAGAATACATTGGGATTGCCAACAATTTGGTTAATGGCCTCTGACGTCATGACTAGAAACAGAGAAACAGTGGCAGCCGGAAGTGCTGTGTATTTTATGTAGGGAACACAAGTTAAAGAACAGGTGTCCGTTGAGAGGGAATTGCGTCCTTTTTAGTTGTCTTGTTTTGTGATCCAAATATGGATCAGGTTTTGTAAGTTCAGTCCCAGGACAGCTTTTATTACCATCAGCAGCAAACTGATGGCAATAAACTCAGGCTATCAAGTAGCATGTCACCGTCAGTCATGAAGCAGTATTCTGGAAAGACAAAGCCATCTGTATTTGAGTGTGCTCTTTTCTAAGAACTTTTGTTGTCAAAAGTAAGGTTTCTGCTTCCTTATGCTGCACTGGAAGTTTATCATCTGTGACACGATCATACAAAGCCAGATCTTTTAATGTACCCTTTAAAACAAACAGAATGACATTTAAAAGTCTAACTCCTAACAATACATAAAGGAGACTTCTGATTATGAGGGATTTGGGGATGATCATAACATGTTCATGTAGTATGAAAGGTAATAAATTATTATTAATTTAGAATTAGGAATATTAGAATTTTTAAGTAAAACAGGACTACACAGGTCACTGGCTCCAAATCATCTCATTTTAATGCGGAAATTAAGATATAAGAAAAGGGAAGGAATTAGCTGCTAGCTAGCTAGTTAGTCCACGCTGGACTCCATGCCATTACCTAAACAGGCACCCCAATTCCAAATAAGCCCTAATACCCAGCTTTCTAATTCTACTTTCACGTTCACAGCCCATCTGAGACTACCCCTGCACCACGGCTTTCCTCTCTCCCAGGGAGAAAGGAAATATTGGGTCCTTCCTCTGATGCCCTTGACACTTTCTCTGGCTCTCCCTTATTGAGCTTTCTACCATGTTACTGTCATTAGTGCATGTATCTTACTCTCTTTTCTAGAACACAAGGTCCTCGAGGGCAGAGACAAGTGTTAGCGTTTCTGAATTCCTTCTCAACATCTACCACTGGGCCCACAGGTTTTTAATGAACTAAACTAAGGAAGAAGCTGTGCCACAACTACTTTTCCTGATCACCAGTTCTAGGCTCTTCCCATTAAAACGTGCTATCCATTCTAGATTCTGCAAACATCACCTACTTCTGCAGGCCAATGTTTTCTAAAATGCTACAAATCAAACTGCTTGCTAACAGATTCTGTCAATGTGACATGCAGTCTTTCCCATGATGCCGTCAAAATATTGAAGACTGGAAGAACACTGTGTATTGTCAGCATAACATACCCACATTCGAGTATCTCTATAACTGATAAAGTAAAAAAGCTTCATGATATATAAAAAAAAATTGATATTGTTAATCACTAACTTCCCCACATAAACTGGTTGTATCATAATAATTTTCACTATTTATTATGTATTTAAATAACGTAGGTCCTTCAAAGATTTTTTTCCCCTTAAGATTAAATGTAAAGTAAATCTAAACTCAGTCAACATACCCATTATATCAAAGAACTCATCTAATGCACTATGCAATGCTGGGAACTTGTCTCTGTGTTCTTCCAGCAACCATATTAAACAACGGGCTTCCTTCAATGACGTTGGCTCATAGAAATAATCAAGTTTCTTTCCTTCAATAGAGGCTAGTTTATGACCATATTTCTCATTCCAGAGGAAAGTCATGATGCTAAAATCAAGCTGTTTAAGAGATGCTCCATAACGAGAAAAGAAAGGTCCTGTGGCATCTAAGCCTGTAATAAAAATAAAACTCAAATCAGAAGAGGAAGGAAATTATTCAGGTTCACATCTCTGAAAGCAACTGACTATAATTTGCTTATATTTTCAGCAAAAAATTCTGAATAGTTGAGAACAGATTCATTCAAGTTATTATGCATTTTAGAAACACCATTTAACATTGTTAGGCTAATTACAATAATTCTTATCTATTAGATTTGAATAATGTGGCCCAATGCCTTCTACTATCATAGTTACCTTTATTAGACCTAGGAGATGAAAGTATGGCATTAAATTCCTTTAAAAATATAATAATGAGGCCAGGCATGAGGGCTTAGGCCTGTAACCTCAACACTTTGGGAAGCCAAGGCTGGAAGCTCACTTGAGGCCAGGAGTTCAATACCAGCCCTGACAACATAGCAAGACCCCCATCTCTACAAAAATAAATAAATAAATAAATAAGCCAGGCATGGAGGTGAATGCCTGTAGTCCCACCTACTCGGGAAGCTGAGGTGGGAGCACTGTTTAAGCCCAGGAGTTCAAGGCTGCAGTAAGCTATGACAGCACCACTGCACTCCAGCCTGGGTGACCGGGCAAGAGTCTCTCTCTAAAAAAAAAAAAAAAAAAAAACCCAAACAATGTTTTCCCTAATTCATAATGACTTCCATTCCAATTAGTACAAACTTGCAAGATTTTGATTTTTTATATGGATTCCATAGTAACAAAACATCAACAATAATGCAAAATCTTCCCAAATGTATCTAAAAGAGGAAATGGGTAAACTTGTTCCCCAGTACCTACAATCACTGCTCCTTATTCCCCAAAATGTGGGTCCTTACCCTCCTCTACAAAATTCAAGGTAGTCAGTGTGCCTGCTTTTATCTCCACTCTCTAAATTAGAAAATAGGGTGACTGCAATCTCATACATACTCCTACTGAAGACAGTGAAGCCCCACTCCTGATGAACAGCCACCAAAAAGCAAAAAGGGGCTCTGTCCAATTTCTCCATCATGCCTCCAATACAAAATGGTCACTTCTTCTGAAGGCCTTACTTGACAAAGTCAACAAATGAAGCAGAGATTGCTCAGTTGAAATTACCCTAGGCTGCTTGCTTCCAGATTAAAGAGTCAGCTTGCAGAGATCACGTTGCAGGAAAATTAGGATCTTTGAACACCAGAATCAGGGACCATATAAGACACTCACGCAATAGTAGATTTACAAGAGCCCAATTAAGAAATAGCACATTCCCGTTCCTTATCCACGTCAGAGCTTGTACTCAATGCCGGGAATGCAGGCAGGCAGTGTTCACTATTGAAATGTCAAATTTCTCTCACTAGTGCTCTGCTATTTCTCTCTCTCCCTCCCTCCCTTCCTCTCTCTTTTCCTCCCTCCATCTTTTGTTGAACATATAAACTGATCTCTCTTAAGTGAAATATGCGAATAAGTCCACCTTATAGATGTTTTATGAGAAGTAAAATTCCAAGTATTGAAAACTGCTTTACTTATGTAAGTGTGCATTTTACTTCAGGGCTGTAGTAACAGCCTTACTAATTCACATGCTTGAACTCATCTCACAACTTTAAATAAAAATTGCTACTTTAAAAAGTATACATATATCTTATTAAAATGATACCTTTAATCTTCAGAATAAACATGTTTATATCAAAAATGTTCACCCTTTCCTGCCAGCCAGCTGGAAGGCTTAAGTGCTATGTTTACTTGAATGAACAGTGGCTGGCAGTCTTGACCATGTAGCACAACTCAGGCAAACCTACTTCTCTAGAGCATCTCCTAAAGCATGTTAAATTAAGCAGTAACTTTATAATTTGCTTACTTGATATTCACTAGCGATAATCTTATCACTTAAAAGTAACTTTCCAGGACCACAAATCCATGAGGATCTATGCTCAAAGCAGAAATGTTCAGCTGTCTAACTATGCTAAGCTTGCTGCCATGTTACTTTGTTTCTTCTGGCAGAAACTGACCAGCATTTTCTCTGAAACCTTAAAATTCTAATAGCCCCATGTTGCTAAAAATTCAGGCAGGTGGGATGGCTAGCAGAGGCTTGGCAGGCCACTTTCTCTGGTCTGCTGCTAAAAGACCCTGCCTTTTTCCTGTGGCTCCCTTTAGTCTCTTACCTAACAGCGGCCAACTGAATAAATTGTTATGCTAGGCCAGTTGCTATCCAGTCATAAGATAAATAGTGCCCAAAGCATATTTACCTAGTATTACACAACAACTGCATCTGCAGCTGCCCTCCACAGTCCTGCATAGCCTTAGGCAAAGAGCCTGCTTTGGGGGAAGACAGCAGGGAATCTTGCTCACTCTTCCCTTCTCCCAGCCAAATTAGTAAAGTCAGAACAGAGTAACAGAGTTATATAAGACACTGATTTACCATAGCTCAGTCCAACCCTAGGATACGTTTCTCTTAATTTCTAGATAACAGATTTGCCTTAGGTGACCCTGAGCAATTAATCTCATCCACTCTTCCCTCTAAATTTTTCTTCAAAGAGTCTGAATTACAGATTTTTCTTCTCAACCCAGCTCCTGAGCAGAGGGCAGACTCCAGGATGTGTTATTCACTCATGGCTGTGCACCTGTGCTTAGTGTTCACACATCTACACATTTACAGTTTAGTCTAATATAGGTGGTCTGGATGTCTTTATTGACGGGTCGTTCCATTGTTCATACTTTTTGAAAAAGTATACCGTAACCTACATATAAAATAACCTAAAAATTGTGTAATAATTTTTTTTGTTCCTTAAAGGCCTTCATCTATTTAGTTCTTTTAAAAATTAAAAAAAATTTTTTTTTAGAGACAGGTCTTGCAACCCTGCCAGGTTGATCTCAAATTCCTGAGCTTAAACAATCATCTGCCTCAACCTCCCAAGTAGCTGGGACTGGAATAGCTTTCTTCTTTTTTTTTTTTTTTTTAATTGTACTTTAGGTTCTGGGGTACATGTACAGACTGTGCAGGACTGTTGTATAGGTACATACATGGCAAGGTGGCTTGCCGTCTCCATCCCACATCACCTGTATCTGGCATTTCTCCCCATGTCATCCCTCCCCAATCTCCTCACCCCACTCCGCTATCCCTCCCCTCTAGCCACCCCCCAACAAACCCCAGTGTGTGATGCTCCCCTCCCTGTGTCCATGTGTTTTCATTGTTCAACACTCGCCTATGAGTGAGAACATGCAGTGTTTGATTTTCTGTTCTTGTGTCAGTTTGTTGAGAATGATGGTTTCCAGATTCATCCACATCCCTACAAAGGACATGAACTCATCATTTTTTATGGCTGCATAGTATTTCACGGTGTATATGTGCCACATTTTCCTTGTCCAGTCTACCATCGATGGACATACAAATTTATAGTCCTGCATTTAAAGTTATAAATTATATGATGGAAAAATGACAATGACTCAGAGACCTACACTTCCCCTTCCTACTAAAGTATATTGTTCTGGAACATAAAGGGACATACCAAAGCTATTAAGTTTTTGGATCCAGGTGGCTAATTTGGGCTCCACTTCTTTAAGCTCACTTAAAACATGCAGAAATATCCTTGTCTTTACTCTGTTCTTTTCTTGAATCAAGTGACGAATAACATAGTCTACTGCTTCATTTAGAAAATTTCTGCTAGAAAAACAGGTTGTATAGTCTTCTGTGCTCAAAACTTTCCAAGAAAGCAATTCTTTGAGAAGCGTGGCTGTATTCCGTATGCCGGATTTAATCTTGTCTGCATACTGCTTTATACACTGTAGAATTCTGTCATCAATGAACTGACAGTGCTGAACATTGTCTACAGTTTCTAAGGATAAATAACAACAGTTAAAGTGATAAATAGGACTAATTCACAATGATATGTACTTAGAAATAATGTAAAATTACATAATATAAACTATAATTCAGATTGATTATATTGTTTTGCATAAACAACTTAAGAAACTTTAATTAGAAATAAACATTTAACAATACTTTTGAAAAGACATGAAAGTACACACTAAAATAAACATATCAAAAGTAAGCATTTTATATCCTTCATTCTGAACCATCATATGGCAGCATTTAAAACTTGGTTCCTCTAAAATATGGCCACTTCCTTCAACAATCCTAACCCAACCTCATCAAATACCTTAACTTTATATACAGTAAATATGTTTAGTCATCAAGCATGCAAAGTTAAAATACAATCTCTGAAAGGTTTTTTAGAATGATAGTTTTGATTGATTTGAGAAACATTAATGGAACACCAGATTAAAGAAAAACACAGCAAGTAAAAAATATTTCACTTTGGAAACACAGCCATTCAAACAGAAGAATGTGAAGAAAACATACATCAATTCAAAACTGAAAATAAACATACTGGCCAACATGTACACAGGAACAGTAAAATTACTAATGAGACACCCCCATGCTAATGTGGGAATGAAGACAAGGTAAGCGTTAAGTAGGACTACACTAGGTCCTCTTTACGGTACCTTTTGTGATCTGCCTCTTAATTGGAATTCAGCATTAATACAGATAATTGGTAGCTAATTTACAGCTCAATATTTTGGAACGTAAACCGCATGGCAGAATTTATAGGGCACTGTAAATACAACACACAGGTCAGACATTATGTCCACTTTCACTTCCGAGATGAGGAAACTGACAGAGTTTGTCCGCAGTTAACAGCGGGTTAGTGCTGGAATTCCTGGGTACTGCTTCTGAAGTCAGTGCTCTTCACACCAACACAACTCCGTGTCGAGTAACAGAAGACAGTAATAGTATTAAGCTACTAACTGAAATCTTTATTTCAGTTCAATAACGAAGAATATAAGGCCAGTAAGATGCTTATATTTGTACTTTTAAGCGAGACTATGTTATTCTTATCATGCCTTGGGCTTCTGCATACCTTTCTGCTCTTCGTTTTTGGGTGGATTACTTTCTCTTAAGTCCTCCTCCATTCTTTCTTGTGCTAATTTTTTTGCTTCTTGCTTTTGGATCTTTCTCTTCAATTTTTTGTCTTCTTTCAGTCTTAGTTTCTCTAGGCTGATAAACAGTTACAGTTAGTGATAATTAAATGAACTGTTTTCCTCTGACTATTGTAGAAACCATCTTCCAAGCAATACATTTGAAGTTTTCCTTTTAATTAGAGCCCGGCCTACATCTTCCATTCAATATAAGAAACTGTCAGTATTGTCAACATAAGGGTACTTGTTTCATGAAAACAAGAACTTCAATGATTAAGTGATGTCTTAAGGATGCAGTCTATAGATTGTATAGATGTCACTTCCATGTATGTAAGTTACTTCATAGGGTAAACAGAAATAGTACAAATTACTCCTTAAAATAATTCATGTAAACTCTCATTTCTAAGAAAGATCCCATAGTAAAATATAGTTTTCACATTTCAATAATGACCCACAACACTATAATTTGGTTGATCTGGTTACAATGAATTCTCTTCAACAAATAATTCTGTTCATCTTTTCTTTTGCTATTTCTTGGTCACAAATGATGAAAAATAATCAATTCTTAGAAAAACAAGCAGTACCAAAAAGAAAAGAAAAAAGAATTCAAATTATTTGATCTAAACAAAAACCTATAGAGAGGTAGGTAATTTAGACAATACATTAAGTATTTCAGGGTAAAAAGTAGTCATAGGTTCAAAATGTTTATTGAAGAGAGAGAAAAAGAAAAATATGCTTTTGGAATTAAAGTTTCAATGGCCGAGAGCAAGATATATAGTTTATATATAAACGCCAAATCTATTAATCCAACATGTAATTTCACAGCATCAGATGTTACAATTTTACTTATAAATTCAACCACTAGATAAATAAATCTGAATCAAGTTTTTAGTATTTAATCATTCTAGACTAGTTCTCTTTACGTTTTAAATTTCCATAAAAATCATTTTAAGAAACACTTATTTGGATATATGTACACACAGCCAATTAAAAAAAGGCACAATTTAGACATCTGCATTCACTAGAATTATATTCTAAGAGACATCATCAAACCACTGATGGAGTGTTAAAAATCTTACCTAGAACATTTCTGTTTCAGAATAGGTCTTGGAGGAACCTTTTCTTTTATGACCTTGTGTTCAAACTTTAAATAAAACAAAGACATCCAAAATTTGTCTCATACTCCCATGACATAAAGCACAAAACCACAAGTAACAAGTATTTCAGAAACACACACAATGTTCAATTTGATAGAGAACAGTGATGATGTTCTGACCCAGACAAAAGCCCAGAAAGCTTAAGCAAAATAATTTACTGAAGAGGAACAAGAGAGTAGACACATTTTAGGAAAAAGTTTTTAAAAAATCAAGAGTAAGCAGACAATCTAATAAAGTGCAAATTAAATTATTACAACTACCCATTCCTGCTATTCCCATGTCATGAAGTTAAAGATAATCCCTCAAGACACTTCCCCCTCCCTAAAAACCTACATACCCACAAATTCCCAAAAGTTTACTGGGATTAAGAAAATGAAGTTATCAAAAAGAATAAAAACAGTAAAACTAAGATGTAAGAAGCCTCCTTTTCCTATTAAGAAATAAAAGAATATTAGAACGCTTTCATTACAATGAAGCATTCTCACATCAGAGTACTTCCTGTATTTTCTTAAATGAAGTAATCGTTTCTTTCCTGGAAAAAATCCAAATTACACTACTTCTACAAATTCAAATCATGTTTCAAAAGGTGCAAACATTTTGGTTACCTATTTAATAAGGTTTCCCTTTATTACTTACTTCACATTTAACTTGACCACCACTGCTGAAGATGATAATCTTAGAAATGATACCTTCACAGTCAGGGGTAAGACATATTCCTTGAAGAAAATCCTATTTAAAAAAGAAAAAAGAAAAAAGAAAAATGTTATGTCTGGGGAGAAAAATCTATACGTGTATACTATTTTTACCACTAAGAACAGTCAAAATATAGACTAAAACCATCTTCAGGGAAGTGGTGAAAATCCCTACTCACTGCCATGCAAATTTAAAGCCTCCACGTAAGAAAAATATACTTCCAGGTGTGGGTCTGACCACGTGCCATCAATGCAAGTGACCAGACATGTCAGACATGTCATATACATGTCTAGGCAAAAAGTTTAACAAACAACACTTCATAGACTGGACATGTTCTTTTTCCTCTGACACAGGAAGATGGTCCAGACATGGGTCACTCTTCAACATGGATTGAGAAACAAAGAATAGAGCCGCACAGAATTGAACTGCTACAGCCCAGTCCCAGTCAACTGCAGAACTGCAGGACAAGTCATGAAAGCAAAAAACAGACCTCTCTGAATGTATGCCACAAGACATTTGGGTTGTATATTACTTCGGCATAGCTTAGTGAAAGCTGACTAATTTACAGAGCATATTTAAATGGTTAAGACCACTAAAAGAGGGAATATCACTACAGAAACTCAATTTAGGTAAGCCAAAGACATAGCAGAAGTGACTCAAAGGTGACCATTATTTACATATATCATTACATTCTTAAATTAATTGTGTGAATATGCACAAAATGTGAGGATTTATTTCTGCCAAACTTTAGTAATTGCTATTGTTAGCAGATGCCTAGTACAACTGCCTCATTCTTTCCCCAATAAGAACAGTGACTGCATAAGCCTATGCAGTGTAGGAAAAAGTCCACCGTTCCTATAGATCAGAAACAAATTCTATGAATACAAGTAATACTGTAATATTGTGCCTTCCCTCAATGTATGTCTACTTAATGGTAATTAACATCATTACCTTGAAAATAAGAAAATATCCCTGGTGAGAAATGGCAGTTTAAAATTGAAGCTGATTCTTTTTCCCAACATTAAAAATATCTGTTTTGAGTTGACTTCTTAGTACAAATTACCTCAACCTATTTTCGTTTTGAAAACTCTGAATTCCCCATCAAAACTTTCATGTGGGGCCTGGCACAGTGGCTCATGCCTATAATGCCAGCACTTTGGGAGGCATTATATGAAGATCACTTGAGTCAAGGAGTCAGAGGCTGCAGTGAGCTACGACTGCACCACTGCCCTCTAGCCTGGGCAACACAGTGAGACCTGTCTCTTTAAAAAAAACAAAGCCTCTGTGGTTACTGCCTTTATAATTGTATAAATAAAAACAAAACTTCATTTTCCATTTTATTACTGAAGTTACAATTTATAACTTTCTAATTATGTGTAGAATGTTTAGGAAGGAATTCTTGGTGGGGAGGAAGTTGATATACGATAAGTATACTGAAAAATTCAGACAATCTTGTTATGTTTTACCTTGTCAATTTTGTCATTAAAGGTTGTAGTTTTTAACTTCTTCCAGCAATTGATGTGAAATTCTATTTTACAGTACTGGCAACAGCTGATTCGAATAAAACCCTAGGGTTTCAAAAAAATTTTAATTAACATTTTAATGATGTCTCTGCACACACACTCACTACAGCACACATAGAGAAAGCTTGACTAACATTTATTTCCACAGCATAAAGTTGCATTATTCTTTATATCAAATATTTTATAAACATTATTCCATCTGACTTACTAACCAGGGATGGTGGGGCAGTAGGATGGGGACAGCTACTATCTTCTTGAATAAACCAGTATAGCTTAATTAAGTGCCAGACTGATCTCAAATTGAGGTCTCCAGCAGCTAATTCAGTGATCACAATGACCTTTAGACTCTGGACTCAAATTTTATGAGAGACTGGAATTGCAACAAATCAGAGGTAACAATCTCATGTTGTTTCATATCCTGCTAAGGAAGCTGGAAGAAGAAAAGAAATGAGCCAGCCTGCCTTCTCAGGTCACCACCCCAGTCCACAGCATTTATGACAGTGGCTCTAGTTCCCATGTGAGATGATGCAGACCTAAAAAAGTCCCGAGAATGGGAGGGACAAGAGGACACAAAACTGCTAACCAGCCAGAGAACCTGGGTGCCTCCAATTACAGAATTTGTTTTGAGCCCATTTTAAGGAAGGATTTTGCAAGTTACTGTCCCACTGTATGCTCATTCTTTACCTTAAAGTCTGGATCAGTTATGTAAATCTGGATCTTAGAATATCCATGGCACTTCTGATAGCAACAAATGGCATCTGGCACTGGAGGGAACTTGCATTCTTCAACAAATTTCTCTAACAGCATCTAAAACAAAACAAACAAAAACAATACCATTATAATACTAATCTGTCGATTAAAATGCTTGTGATTTCAATAACCACTTGCCATCAAAATATTTTCAGCATAGGAATGACTAAATTTTTTCACCAACAGCAAACTACATACAACTTTTAAAGTTTTTCCTTTAAAAATGAAGGCTGATACAGAGACATAGGAGAGATTTTAAAAGAGAACTGAACAAAATTTTCAGAATTTTGACAGTCAGAATCAAAATTTTGTCCTGTTACAATCATCGAATCTCATTTTAAAAATTTACAGCTCTCAGAAACCTCCCATAAGCATTAAGAGGAAGTCAAGTAAAACGGAATAACCCTTAGGGTAATCCTGAGGACTTTACCACAATCCTCCTGCCCAACAGCACCTCATCCAGGATCCTAACACTCCCATTCATCTTCCTCCTTGCATTTCTGCCACTGTTGTTTGTGGACTCCCTGGAGAATTATTCCATTGCTAATGAAGCCCACAAGAGGTTCATGCCATGCTTCCAATGCTGGCTTTTTGTTATCAATAGCTCCTCTGCCTCCATCCCAATCTTGTATGAAGAGAGGAAAATCCGAAAATCTCTTTTATTTTTTTATTTTTTATTTTTTTTTAAAGATGGGGTTTCACCATGATGGCCAGGCTGGTCTTGAACTCCTGACCTCAGGTGATCCACCCACCTCGGCCTCCCAAAGTGCTAGGATTACAGGCGTGAGTCACCGCGCCCGGCCTATGTTTTATTTTTTATAACAGTTTTGCTGAGATATAATGAATACACTTATACAATTCAAATAAAGTGTACAGTTCAGTGGTTTTTAGCATATTCACAGGGTGTACTGCTATCACCACAATCTAAATTTAGAACATTTTCGACAAGAAACTCCATATGCATTAGCAGTCCCTCCTCATCTTCCCCTAACCTCCTAGACCCAGCAAGCACTAGTCTACTCTGTCACCATATCCAGATTTGCCTGTTCTGGAGATTTCAAACGAATGGACTCACACAAACCCTTTGGGTTTGGCTTCTCTTACTTAGCACAATGTTTCCAAGGTTCATCCATGCTCCAGCATGTTATCAGTACTCCTTTTTTTTTTGAGACAGTCTTACTCTGTCACTCAAGTTGGAGTGCAGTGGCACCACAACCTCAGCTCACTGCAGCTTCTGCCTCCTGGGCTCAACTGATCCTCCCACCTCATTCTCCTGAGTAACTGGGACTCCAGGTGCGAGCCACTATGTCTGGCTAATTTTTGTATCGATGGGTTTCGCCATGTTGCCCAGGCTGGTCTTGAACTCTGGAGCTCAAGCAATCCTCCTGCCTTGGCCTCCCAAAGTGGTGGGATTATAGGCATGAGCCACCACACCTGGCTGTCTGTTTTTGAGGCAGACTCTCATTCTGTTGCCCAGCCTGCAGTGCAGTGGCGCAATCACGGTTCACTGTGGCCTCAACCTCCCAGGTTCCAATACTTATTTACCCATTTATCAGTTGAACACTTGGGCTATTTCCCACTTTGGGCTATTATAACTAATGCTGCTATGAATATTCATGTACCAGTTTTTCTAAGAATATGTTTTCCTTCCTTTGTACACACCTAGGAGTGAAACTGCTGGGTCATATGGTATTAGCATACCATATTAGCATATTGAATGTTTGACCCTCCAAACTACATGTTGAAATCTGATCCCTGGTGTTGGAGGTGGAGGCATAGTGGGAGGTGTTTGAGTGAGAGGTGTTTGTTGGGACAAATCTCTCATGAATAGATTAAGTCCCTCCCTGGGGTGAGTGAGTTATCATTTCATTAGTTCCCTAGAGAATTGGTTGTTAAAAAGAGCCTGGTACTTCCCCTTCTCTAACCAAATGATCTCTACAGGCTGGCTCTCCTACTCCTTCTGACATGAGTAGGAGCTGCTGGAGGCTCTCCCCAGAAGCAGATGCTGTCACCATGCTTCTTATACAGCCTGCAGAACCACAGGCTAACTTTTCTTCATAAATCACCCAGCCTCAGGTACTTCTTTATAGCAACACAAATGCACTGAGACACGACAACTCTATGTTTAACTGTTTGAGGAACTGCCAGACTATTTTCCAAAGCAGCTGCATCATTGTACATCACCACCAGCAATGTCTGAATGTTCCTGTTTTTCTAAATCTCTGCCAATATTGTCTGCCCACTTCCCCAGTGAGTGTGAAATGGTATCTCACTGTGGTCCTGATTTGTATTTCTCTGACAGTTACTGTTGCTGAATATTTTTTTATGTGCTAATTGGCCATTTGTATATCTTCTTTGCAGAGATGTCTACTCAGATCCTTTGTCCACCTCTTAGATTATTTGTCCTTTTATTATTAAGTTCTAAGAGTTGACTTCTGTGGTTTTAAAAGCTTCAGCCAAAATCAAGTTCTGAGTACATGTGAGAGTTCACTACAAGTAAGAGCTATCTTAATCAATTCACATGTAAGTACTTCTAGAATAAGCAAAGCATCCTTATGCTTCTGGATATGAGACTGAATTCCTATTTTTCTGAATCTTCAGGTACCATCTCAGTAACTGTGATAACTTTATAATGAAACAACAATATTATACCTTCTCTAAGTACAACCAAGTCCAGCATACTGCATGATCATGCATACTCAGAAGTCAGAATGCCTGGACTCAAATCCCAGGATCACCATTTGCTTGCTGTTTCCCCTTGAGTGCATCATTTCACCTCTCTAAACTTAACCTTTCTCATCTGTAAAGTGCAAATGAGCCCTGCACAGGGCTGCTGTAAGGATTAAGTCTAATGATAAATGGAAGATACGTGACTGGCTCATAGAAAACATTCAATAAATGTCAGAGATTCTCATTAGACTGTAGAGGGGAAATGCATGTGCAGGGGATGGGGATGGAGTGCTCCGACGTCCCTGCCTCCTGATACCTGAGTCAGTCAATGCAGATGGGCATTCATGTAAGAAACACTCTGCAAAAATAAATGGTTACCTTTATTTTTTCTGGCTGAGACTCTTCAATAATCACATTACTTGTGGGCCAAGTTAACACTCCAGGAAGACGATAAATCAAGGTTCTTGCTTTCTCAAAGTGATTGAGAGCTTCTAGAAATCTAAAGTCATAATTATGAAAAAGGCATTAAAGATGTAAAATGGTATTTTCAATCCCCACAACAAAAGTCACCAAACATCTCAAGCTTACTGGGAAGAATATAGCTGATGAATCACTGAACAGCAATATTCAATGTAACCTATATTTTCTTTAAAAAAAATAAAGTCACTATTGCTGTTTGCTATAAAAGTAATAGACATTAAACAACTCATCCTGGACATTGGCTTTATTGTGGTAGGTGTACACTATTTCTTTTAAAGTTGGTTTTATTTTTTTAAGTTTCTGACAATTAAAACAGAAAAGTGAATAATCTGTTCAATCTTTGTTTCATTAATTAAACTAATTAAAGTAGATTCTTATAGAGAAATAGCAAACCTCCATTTCAACTAATAATCTATAAATAGTGGAATTTTAAAAAATTTGACTCTATTAGGACAATGGTAGTAAAAATTTCTCCGCTAAAAAAAAATTTTAAGGCATCATGTATTCTGGATATTTTCTCTCAACCATAAAACAGTGAATTATTTTAACACAGCAAATATTTAAATGTGTATTTAAATTGCTTTAACTGTAAATATAAAATGTTTTACTTCTGATTTGATTCACGAGTTGAAGAAATAATGTCAATAGCTTCCCACAGTCCATTCAATGAAAGAATACTAAAGTACTGGATTATAAAGTTAACCAAGGTTGGGTGTGGTGGCTCATGCCTGAAATCTTAACACTTTGGGAGGCCAAGGCAGGTGAATCACCTGAGGTCAGGAATTCAAAACCAGCCTGACCAACATAGTGAAACCCTATCTCTACTAACAATACAAAATTAGCTGAGTGTGGTGGCGCATGCCTGTAATCCCAGCTACTTGGGAGGCTGAGGTAGACGAACCGCCTCCAGGAGGCGGAGGCTGCAGTGAGCCAAGATTGTGTCACTGCACCCCAGCCTGGACAACAAGAGCAAAACTCTGTCTCAAGGAAAAAAAAAAGGTTAAGTCTCTTCACATTGGAGAAGAGTTTCCTGCTTTCTCCAATCCTGAAATGACTTCCCAATTTAAAAACTCATATTGCCTATAGCTATAGTAAGATTCATGTGCAGAAAAGCTAGACCACCATCTACCATAAAACAGTTATAAATCATAGGATTTCAAAGCAGAAACTGCATATTACAACATCAAAAAAACAGCATATTAGCTATTTAGTCCCATATCATATTATTCAGAATGTAAACGCTTTTCAATATGGCAAAGACTTTCTAGTTTTGCACAATCTCCATGATTCTAAACATTTATGTAATTTTTCTAGACCTTGTGAATTTGTATGTAACCACTACCTCAAATGGGTGTATATCCTAAACAATTTATACTAAACTTTTTTTTTTTTGAGACGGAGTTTTGCTCTTGTTGCCCAGGCTGGAGTGCAATGGTGCAATCTTGGCTCACCGCAACCTCCGCCTCCTGGGTTGAAGCGATTCTCCTGCCTCAGCCACCCAAGTAGCTGGGATTACAGGCATGTGCTGCCATGCCCAGCTAATTTTTTGTATTTTTAGTAGAGACGGGTTTTCACTACGTTGGCCACGATGGTCTTGATCTCTTGACCTCGTGGTCCACCCACCTCGGCCTCCTAAAGTGCTGGGACTATAGGCGTGAGCTACTGCGCCTGGCCCTATACTAAACTTTTAAATTAGTTTCATTTGCTATTCCTGTAAAGGTGATTACTAAGTCTCTACCTTCCCTGCATCTACTTGATCCTTAATATAGCTCAGCTAAGACAGACAGTAATTTCATGAAGTAAAATAAGAACTAACTTTCTTTTTTTTTTTTTTTTTTTTGAGATGAAGTGTGACTCTGTTGCCCAGGCTGGAGTGCAGTGGTGTGATCTCAGCTCACTGCATCCTCCGCCTCCTGGGTTCAAGCAGTTCTCCTGCCTGACCAACACAATGGTAAGGCATATATACCTCTTATCTAAAACCACCTTCATACAGATTTTTAAAAATAATTATTTAACCAAAAATTATATAATCTGATTTTAAAAGCATTAATTTATGTCAATTCATTCACTAACTATAGATGATGTATACTAAAGACTATTAAATCTTTAATGTTGCCCTGGCCTCTCAAGTAGCTGGGACTACAGGCACACGCCACCATGCCCAGTTCATTTTTGTATTTTTAGTAGAGATAGGGTTTCACCGTGTTGGTCAGGCTGCTCTTGAACTCCTGACCTCAAGTGATCCACCTGCCTCAGCCTCCCAAAGTGCTGGGATTACAGGCATGGGCCACAACACCCAGCCAAAAGAAAACTTTCATTTAAATAAATCCATAAAGGAGGTTCTAGGCACATTCTAAGAATAAGAGGGTGGGGGTTCTGCCAAAAATCTCATAAAATTTCCCCTAACAAGTTAAATGAAAATTGAAAAATAATTTAAAATTATGAATAATATTCAATCAGTCAACAATTATTTCTTTATAAAGTAACCTAACATATCTACCATTATATTGGGTACAAGTGGCAGAAACAGAGATTTTCTTTTTTTAAAGCTCAAGAAATAATCCTGTCCCCTTAGGGACATACTGAAATTTGGGGAGACAAGTCTACGAGATATGAGGCATTTAGAGAACAGCTTCAGTTATTTTTTGAGACAAAGTTTCGCTCTTGTAGCCCTGGCTGGAGTGCAGTGGTGTGATCTCGGCTCACTGCAACCTCCACCTCCCTACTTGGGAGGCAGCGATTCTCCTGCCTCAGCCTCCCGAGTAGCTGGGATTACAAGCGTCCGCCACCACGCCCAACTAATTTTTGTATTTTTAGTAGAGATGGCATTTCACCATGTTGTCCAGGCTTGTCTTCAACTCCTAACCTCAGATGTTCCACCCACCTCAGCCTCCCAAAATGCTGGGATTACAGGTGTGAGTCACCACGCCTGGCTGAGAACAGCTTCAATATTAAACTGTGAGTAAAGATGACAACTACAGTAGAGTGCAGAGGAGAGATTTTTATTCCTGACTCATGATGTCTTTGAACACATATATACCTCTTATTTAAAACCATCTTCATATAGATTTTTTAAAATAATTAAACCCAAAAAATTATGTAATCAGATTTGAAAAGCATTAATTTCAATCAATGCATTCACTATCTATAGATGATGTATACTAAAGACTATTAAATCTTTAATGTCAAATAACTGTATTGTTGACTTTCTTATCAGATTCAAAATCAGGAAGTACCAAGAACTGCAATGACTAGCCTTGCTTTAACAATTAATATTGACAGTGAAACACCAGGTCCTCAAAGCAAATCACAATTATGATAGTGTACTACAGAGGAGATATCAAAATAATTCCAGAAAATGGATCATTATCACATTGGATTTTAAATAAGTTACCAGACTAGAGATTAAAGTAGTGTCATTTCTACTAACCTGTTTTTTTTCAAATATACTTTTCCAATTCCACAGTAGGCCAGGCAGTCAAGTCCCTCATTGGGGTAGTGTTCAATAATCCTCTTAAACTGGTTTTCAGCTTCAGATAATTCCTTAAATAGCAGTGAAAACAATGATGACTTATATACAAAGAGAAATACTGGAATAAGTTGTATCTGAAGGCTGATTCTTTTTTTTTTCTAATATTAAAATAACAACTGCATATTCCCAAATTCCTGTAGCAAAATCATACCTCTGTGTTTCATTTTCTTAGGAATTATATAAATTTCTAATCATATGGCTATTCAGAGACACAACCAAGCCAATCCTGCTGCACACATCAGACAATCAATCTATAAGCATTTACTAGTACACACTAAGGGCCTGATGTGTGCTGGCTAATACTAAAAACAGTAAAATCGTGTGTGTTCTATTTTAAAGGCTAATTTTGGTGTAAACACACCGTAACATAGATCCTATTAAGTGCTATTCCCTTGGAAGGAATGCCATTCCTATGATGTTGTCACAGTCTTTTGTAGCATAAGACAGATGAAAGCTCTGTCTTAAAAACAGTCCGTCAGTAAAAACTTAACATAGCTTAGAGTACATTCTTTTTTGGAATATTCTCAACAGTGAAAAGCCACTAAGTTGAATGAATTTTGCTTTTAGAAAACATTCAAAAGATATTTAGTTCTAAGAAATACTGGTAACCCTACTGTGAGTGAAAAAAAGGAAATGTCACTATAAAATGAAGCTTTGAGACCGGTTCCAAAGGAGGCATTCTAAAAATGTCCGAAGCAAGGGCTGTCCTCTGATGAAATTCTTTTAAACATGTAAGTTCTACTATAACACTTGTTTTTTTTTTTTCCAAATCAGTCTATTTTACATTAAATCACAAATGTAATAAATTTCTTCAATTCTAATAAGGTAAAATATGGTATTTATTATTATTCTGTCAGGAATAAAATTAAAACCCTGAAGTCCGGTCTCCAACTGTCTCTTGGAAAACAGAATTAGACAGCATTCATGGAAGACATTATTAATCTGTGACAAAAAAATCCTTGGGCACTGTGGACTTTTGGGAGAGAACAGAACGTAAAAGACTGCTTAGGAAGGTGGGTTAAACCTTCATCTAGACAGGGAAAACAGAACCCAAATTATTTATTATACTTTAGGTCATTTTAGAGCATTTCAACATTTATAGCAAACTCAAAACCTCAGAAAGCAAAGTTATAATGCCACACAGTATAGGTAGGTAAACATTCCAGGAGAGCAAAGCAGGAGCATGTCTAATGGAAATCCTGGGAGCTCATGTCTATACACTGACTACATGCAGTTATAGGGAGCCTGCAATCTAGAAATAATACAATACCCAAGTACTTTCTACCTATAAATAAGAGATGCTAACATTATGCTAACATGCTAACATTATCGTTGTTACCTTTGTTTTCCTAGGAAAACAGTGTAACACAAAGCCACCCCAGGTCCATTCCCTCATGCCATCACCAAGGGCAGCCATTATCTTAAATTGGATATAAACATAATCTGTATTTTTTCTCTTTTTTACAATAGGCACAGGTACTCATAAGCAGTATATAGTACTGTTATGTATATTTTCCAAACTGTATGTAAGTGGGATCACAATGTTTATGTTCTCCAACTTGCTTTTCCCTCAAGATTATGTTTCTAAAATCTATCTATGCATTACATTCTTTACTTTTTGTGCAAATAAAAAGTAGATTCCCAACGATTGCCTGGCAAAGCCTTTTTCTTTTCTTTAAAAACACAAACTAAATTAAACTGAGATATTTCAGACAAAATTATTAGAGGTACAGAGAAGGAAATGGGTCAAAATGAGAAAAATATTATAAGATATGTCAATATCATTTTAATTGTTTATTACCTCTGTTACAAATCTTACCTCAGGCTGCCCTATTCCAAGGAGAGAAACGGCAAGTCCATAGACAACCAAGACATAGTTAATCATGGCCAGGTTCAGTTGCTGTCAATAAAAATGCCTCAGTTAAAAATCTGAACATAATTCTGCTCCATTTGTATCATACTAACCTTCTAGTCACAACAGAAAAAGAAGTGTAATAGAATCTCACTAATCAATCTTACTAATCAATGACTGTCATAAAATCTCACTAATCAATATGATTGTCCAAATCAAATTAGAAAAGGGATTTTTGTCCTAATAAAGCAATTATACACTATTTAAAAACACAGAATCACCGTCTCAAAGTTCCTTGAGGCACGGCTCATAATAGATTAGAATAATTTCTAATTAAAGTCATATGATTTTGCATATAAGGGGTACTAGTGACAGATTAAGACATTTACTTAGCTATTAGAGGCATACCTCAGAGATACTGTGGGCTCGGTTCTAGAGCATCACAATAAAGCAAATATCACAATCAAGTGAGTCTCACAAACTTGAGGGTTTCCTAATGCATATAAAAGTTATGTTTAAGTGATACTGTAGTCTATTAAGTGTGAAGTACCATTATGTCTATAAAATAATGTACACACCTTAATTTTAAAAACTTTATTGCTACAAATGCTTATGATCATCTGAGGCTTTAGTGAGTCATAATCTTTTCGCTGGTGGATGGTCTTGCCTTGATATTGATGACTGCTAACTGTTCAGGATGGTACTTGCTGAAAATTAAGGTGGCTGTGGCAATTCTTAAAATCAGACAACAGTGAAGTCTGTTGTACTGATTGACTCTTACTTTCAAAAAAGATTTCTCTGTAACATGTGATGTTGTCTAACAGCATTTTACCTATACTACAACCTCTTTTAAAATTGGAGTGAATCCTCTCAAATCCTGCCACTGCTTGATCTACTAAGTTTATTATTTCAACAATATTCACAGCATCTTCAAAAGGAGTAGATTCCATTTCAAGCAACGACTTTTTTTTGTTCATCTGTAAGAAGCAACTTCTCATCCCTTCAAGTTTTATCAAGAGATTGCAGCAATTCAGTCACATCTTCAGGCTCCACTTCGAATTCTAGTTCTCTCACTTGTTTCACGACATCTGCAGTGACTTCCGCCACTAATGCCTTGAACCCCTCAAAGTCATCCATGAGGACTGGAATTCACTTATTCCAGACTCCTGTTAATATTGATATTGTGATCTCTCCCATGCATCATGAATGTTCTTAGTGGTATCTAGAGTGGTGATCCTTTCCAGAAGGTTTTCAATTTACTTTGCCCAGATCCAACAGAGGAATCACTAAGGCAGCTATAGCCTTATAAAATATGTTTCTTAAGAACTGAAAGTCAAAATAACTCTTTGTTCATAGGCTACGTAATAGATATTGTGTTAGTGGGCATGAAAACAACACTTATCTCCTTGTACATGTATATCAGATCTCTTGGGCAATCAGGTGCATTGTCAATGAGCAGTAGTATTTTGCAAGGAATCTTTTATTCTGAGCAGTAGGTCTCAACAGTGGGCTTAAAGTACTTAGTAAACCATGCTATAAGCAGATGTGCTGTCATTCATGCTTTTTGTTCCATTTCTACAGCTCTAGGCAGAATGAATTAGTGTAATTCCTAAGGGTCTCAGGATTTTTGGAACGTAAATGAGCACTGGCTTCAACTTAAGTCACCAGTTATATCGGCCCCTAATGAGTACTGAGCTGTCCTTTGAAGCTTTGAAATCAGACATTGACTTCTCTCTAGCTGTGAAAGTCCCAGATGGCATCTTCTTCCAACAACGTTTTGTCTCCATTGACAATCTGTTGTTTAGTATAGCCACCGTCATCAATGCTCTTCGCTACATCTCGGTAACTTGCTGCAGCTTCTCCATCAGCACTTGCTGCTTCATCTTGCACTTTTCATGTTATGGAATCGGCTTCTTTCCTTAAATCTCATGAACCAAATTCTGCTAGATTCAAACTTTTCTTCTGCAGCTTCCCAATCTCTCTCAGCCTTCACAGAATAGAAGCGTTAGGGCTTTGCTCTGGATTAGGCTCTGGCTTAGGGAATGTTGTGGCTGGTTTGATGTTTTATCCAGACCACTAAGACTCTCCACATTGGCAAGAAAGTTTTTTCACTTTCTTGTCATTTATGTGTTCACTGAAGTAGCACTTTTAATTTCCTTCAAAAACTTGTCCTTTGCATTCACAATTTGGCTATTTGGCACAAGAGGACTAGCTTTCTGCTTATCTTGGCTTTCAACATGCCTTCCCCACAAAGCTTAATCATTCTACTTTTTGATGTAAAGTGAGAGACATGCAGTCTTCCTTTCACTTGAATACTTAGAGGCCATTGTAAGGTCATTAACTGGCCTAATTTCAATATCGTGTCTCAGGGAACATGGAGACTTAAAGAAGGAGGTAGAAACAACAGATGGTTGGCAGAGCACTCAGAACACACACACACCATTTATTTTATTTTTTTAAATGTTCATTCTCAAGCTGTAAGTATTTATTTATCCGTGTACATCTGTTTCTTCTTTATTATACTTTAAGTTCTAGGGTACATGTGCAGATTGTGCAGGTTTGTTACACAGGTATACACATGTAATGGTGGCAGTTCGCTGCCTCCATCACCCCATCATCTACATTAGGTATTTCTCCTAATGCTATCCCTCCCCAATCCCTCCACCCCCTGCTATTCCTCCCCTAGTCCCCCAACCCCCAGGCCCCAGTGTGTGATGTTCCCCTTCCTGTGTCCATGTGTTCTCATCATTCAACACCCACTTATGAGTGAGAACATGCAGTGCTTGGTTTTCTGTTCTTGTGTCAGTTTGCTGAGAATGATGGTTTCCAGCTTCATTCATGTCCCTGCAAAGGACATGAACTCATCCTTTTTTATGGCTGCATAGTATTCCATGGTGTATATGTGCCACATTTTCTTTATCCAGTCTATCATTGATGGGCATTTGGGTTGGTTCCAAGTCTTTGCTATTGTGAACAGTGCTGCAATAAACATACATGTGCATGTGTCTTTATAATAGAATGATTTATAATCCTTTGGGTATATACCCAGTAATGGGATTGCTGGGTCAAATGGTATTTCTATTTCTAGATCCTTGAGGAATCACCAAACTGTCTTCCACAAAGGTTGAATTAATTTGCACTCCCACCAACAGTGTAAAAGCATTCCTATTTCTCCACATCCTCGCCAGCATCTGTTGTCTCCTGATTTTTTAATGATCGCCATTATAACTGGACACACACCATTTATTAAGTTCCCTTCTTACACAGGCATAGGTTGTAGTGCCCTAAAAACAATTACAATAGTAACATCAAAGATCACTAATCACAGATATGTAATAATGATAATAAGAAAGTTTGACACGTTGTGAGAATTACCAAAATGTGACATAGAGACATGAGGTGAGCACATGCTTTCGGAAAAATGGCACCGACAGACTTGCTTGACGCAGAGTTGCCACGAATCTTCAATTTGTAAAAAACGCATTGTCTGCAAAGTGCAATGAAGCAAAGCATAATGAAATGAGGTGTGCCTGTACTTCCTTTCTGAATGAAAAGATGTGACTAAAGTGAGTTGAAATCCTTTACTTAGAGAAAAAGCCAGTTCTAATGACCCTAAACTATAGTCAAGGAGAAAGTATAAACATGGATCATGTATTGAGCATACTCATGAAGTCTGAACTGGAGTACTACCTGCTTCCCATAACCTGAAGCCAATCTCTGCAAGGTCTTAGGAATATTACTACAATGAGTTAAAGCCTTGTTTCTCTTCTGCATTCATCTGAGGCACATTAGCACTGATAAACAAGTTATGATATGGAAAATTTACCTTTATTTTTTGAGGATCTAAACCATTCAGTAACTCTGTAAAGGCCTGTGCAGCACTGCGGCATCGCTGCTCCAATAAAGCTGTATAGCCATCTTGAATTAAGCTTCTCAGCATTTTCATTATATTAGCAAAATCCTAGAAAAATGAAATTCTATTTCAGTAACCCAAATGTACACATTTCTAATTTAAAACTTAAGATGCAAAGTTCATAGTAATACTTTATAACTAATGAGAAAACGTTTAAATCAATACTCAAACTATCCTTTATTAATCATATTCCTTTCTCAGCACCACAATTTTAAAGTGAAAATGAAAAGGTATCATTTTACCATATTAATTGCAACACTTGCCCTGTTGCCTTTGACAAAGGTGGTTCCTTTTACACTACATGGTGCAAAGCCTCACTTGCTTTCCAGACTAAACAGACAGTAATTTTAAGTGTTAATAATATATATGAAAAACACCGGCCATCACTTAAATAAGTAAATTATTGGATTGCAAGTAGAACAATGAGATGCATAAGAATATGCAATCAATGTACTGATCACTACCAGATTGTTAACAACCGCCATCCTGCTCTGAAACAGACCTTAATTCTAAGAAAGAAAGAAGGCCGGGCACGGTGGCTCAAGCCTGTAATCCCAGCACTTTGGGAGGCCGAGGCGGGTGGATCACGAGGTCAAGAGATCGAGACCATCCCGGTCAACATAGTGAAACCCCGTCTCTACTAAAAATACAAAAAATTAGCTGGGCATGGTGGCACATGCCTGTAATCCCAGCTACTCAGGAGGCTGAGACAGGAGAATTGCCTGAACCCAGGAGGCAGAGATTGCGGTGAGCCGAGATCGCGCCATTGCACTCCAGCCTGGGTAACAAGAGCGAAACTCTGTCTCGAAAAAAAAAAAAGAAAAAGAAATATTTCCATTGTTAACTATACTCTTGCTTAACATATACTTGAATATAACTAGATAAAAATGCCAGGACAGATAATAAGAAGTTAAATGCAAAAGGAAGAACATAAGAAATAAAAAATAAAAACAAAATTGCTATCATGTACCCTTAAATAAAGTGAGAAAAACTTGCTAACTCGAATGCTTATGTGCACACGCATTATAATTTTAATTCATATTTTAGTGACATGGGAATAGCTGTAAGTCACCAAAGTTCCATAAAGATTAGAGAGGCAAGGCTAGACATTAAGTCTCAAATCTCCTCACTCCTTGTCATACATGTGTGCACCATTCAAGGGGGCAACAAATGCAAACATGTATGTTGTATTCCTTGCCGTTCCTAATAATGAAGATCCAAAAGGAGACCTTACTGCACAAATCACAGAGGAAAAAGCAGTTTGGTTACCCATAAACAAAAGCCTTCTGCTGGCTTTTGAATCATGTGAATCAAAGTCTGGCAAAACGCTCCCCAGAATATGCGTGGAAAAGAACAGCTCTCACAAAAAACTTAAAAGCTCTATGACAGCCATACTTGTTTTAAGATATGAACTTGAAGTTACAGATGATGATGTGCTATCCCTACAAATACTAGTTATTATTAGCCTTGCATAAACTCATTCAATTTTAATCTCGTTCTCATTCTTTTTCTTTTTTCTTCTTTAAAAGAGACAGGGCACCCAAACTAGTGAGAAGCTTAAAAAAGGAAACAAAAGAAAATAATAAATTACTATGTTGCTCAGGCTGGAGTGCAGTGGCTAATCCTCTCACTTCAGCCTCCTGAGGAGCTGGGACTGCAGGCACATGCCACCACACCCAGCTTTCTTTATCAGTCTAGAAATCAGATCCATACAGCCTCATGTTTTCATTGGAAGTCACTTCCCTCAATGCAACATAAATGATCTATCCTGAAAGCTCCAGCAGAGCAGGCCGAAATCACATCACTACACACCCAATCTTTCTTAGTCCTCAGCATATGGAGAGAGCCTCAATCAAACTGTGTTGAATGAACAAACAGAGGCTAAAATCAACAATCATATTTATTTAAATAGTCTTTTCATCTTCACAGGCTGTCTTCTGTGTATTTCATGGTTTTTAGAGTCAGTAAAAATCAATGTAAAAAGATATAATTTAAAATCTCCAACTGTAAGAAATTCTCAAAAATGCTTTTAAGCAATTAATTAGAAGTGTATTTTAGTTCTTTGTAAAATATCTGTTATGTATACCTAAAAAAAGATCCACATCTTGAAACAAGTATTCTACTCCATGTTAATGTATGTTTCCCATCACAAAGCAACATAAAAAGAATTTTATATACGACATTATCTGATTAAGTTAAATCATTTAAAGAATAAAAGTTTGCTCTTGAATGACTTTAGAGTAGGTATAATGAAACTGTTTAAATATTTTTAAATTATTTAAATCTTTTAAAAATATTTAGTTAATATTACTGTTAACTCTTTGAGAAGCAAATAATTCCACAGAGTTAACCATTAGTTAAACCTCTAGCTAGCATAATTATCAAGTTAATATTTAAATTAATGATAGACTGGATTCTTAGTAGTCATATATGTTCAATTATATGTCTGTAACAGCTGGGTGTGATGGCTCACACCTGCAATCCCTAAACTTTGGGAGGATTGCTTGAGGCCAGGAGTTTGAAACCAACCTGGACAACATAGTAAGACCCCATCTCTACAAAACTACAATACAGTACTTACATTAAAAAATAAATCTTAGAGATGTACATGATTAGAATTTTATTCATGTGAACAATGTTTCATTCAAAGAGTTTTGCTTTTTCCATTGGAAAAGCTTCTCCATTACCTGGTGTGCAGCTCTGGAAGATTTAGAAAACTGTTTCTCCAAGATGTTCTTCAAATCTGCTGGTAAAGTCAATTGTGAACTACAACTAAGAGAAAAAAAGCATTTGTTTTTAATAATTTTAAAATAAAACACTTCTACTCATATAAAGAAAAAAACAGGGCCAGGCATGGTGGCTCACACCTATAATCCCAGCACTTTGGGAGGCCATTTGAGACCAGCCTGACCAATGTGGTAAAACCCCGTCTCTGCTAAAAATACAAAAATTAGCCAGGTGTGGTGACAGGTGCCTGTAATCCCAGCTACTCAGGAGGCAGGAGAACTGCTTGAATCCAGGAGCCAGAGGCTGCAGTGAGCCAAGATCACATCACCGCACTCCAGCCTGGGCAACAGAGCGAGATGCCATCTCAAAAAAACAAAAAAAAAAGAAAGAAAAGAAAAATATAGAATCTGAATATTAGTTTACTCTCATCCTTCCAATGTGACAGACAGAAAAAAAGATGTATTTACTGAAGGCCATTTAAAATACAGAGTAAATTGTGAGCCATACAAGTTAGCCATTCTTTGCAGGGGAGGAATATTTCCATTAGAAATCTCTAAATCCAATGCAATCTCAGTAAACATTCCTATAAAATCAGAGGTGGAGGGAAACCAGATCAATTGATTATAAAGATGATATGGAAAAACAGCTTTTGAAAAAAGAGAAACATTAAGCAGTATTTGCCTTGATTATGAAAAGGTATTACAAATCTGCAGTCATTAGTAACAACATGGTCCTAAAACAAAAGTGTGCCCAATAAACAGTGCAAAGATGTTCAATATGATGAGAAAATCGAGTAATAAGATGTAAGCATTTTGGAAAGTCTGACTCCCTAAGTTGGTGAGAATAAGAAAAACTGGCACTCGATGTGGAGTTTTCTGAAAGCTCTTCTGACATCAAATGTGTGGATTTTTTCCCAATAACAAATATTGTCATTTTTCCATATCAATTCAACTGTCCAACACAAAATGAGTGTGTAGTAATGCAATTCAGTTCTGATACTAACTCTCAGACCTTGCAGGGTAAAGGGTCAGTTCCACAAGACTTCCCTCACCTCAGCTCAAGTGGGGTGCACAGGTTACCCACACTTCTGCCCTGCTGACTACAAACTAGAGAGTTTCCATGATCCCCTCTTCAGGCTCACTAGAAAAACACACAGAACTCATGGAAGTGCTTTACCTACTATTTCCAATTTTATTATAAAGGATACAACTCATAAACAGCCAAGTGGAAGAGATGCACAGGAAGGTAGGGGGTGCGAGGAGCTTCATGCTCCCCCTGGGCATGCCACTTTCCCAGCACATCAATGTGTTTGCCAACCCAGGAGCTCCCCAAGCACTCTTTTAAGGGTTTTACTAAGGTTTTATTACGTCGGCATGTAGGTACAATTGACTAAACCACTGGCCACTGGTGACTAAACTCAATTTCCAGCTCCCCTCCCCTCCTTGAAAGTCAAGTATGGGGCTGGAAGTCTTAAGCATCTAATCACGTGCTTGGTCTTTCTGGTGACTAGACTTCCTGAACTATCTGGGGCACTACCTTGAGTCACCTCATTAGCATAAACTCAAGTTCATGGAAAGGGGCTCATGATGAGTAACAAAATATACTCCTATCATTCAGGAAATTCCATGGGTTCTGGGAGCTCTGTACCAAGAACTGGGACAAATACCAAATATATATATTTTTTATTATAGCACACCCTCTTGTAGGAGTGTGAACAGTGCTCATTTTCTGGGAGAAGAATTTGGCAATACTTGCCAAAGATAAAATTATGCATCCCCTTTTATACAGCAATCCCACTACAGAAACAACTTCTAAACCTTATTTACAATGTACTTATTGGACATTGAACAGGTGCACAAAGGTGCATGTGGGATGTTTAAAGTATTGTCTGATTTATCCCTCTCAAAGGAAAGAAAGAAGAAAGCAAGAGAGAGGTGGAGAGAGGGAAAGAAAGTGAGAAAGGAAAAGAGGAACGAAGGGCCCAAATGCACAAAGATGGGAGATGCAGCTGTATCCCAAAACACGATCCAGCCATCAAAACGATGAGTGGAGCGCTCTGTCTTCTGAACATGGGAAGAAACACAAGATATTTTGTAAGAGGTAAAAAGCAAGCTGTAGGCCAGAGTCATTCTAGTAACAATGAAAATGATGGTGATAACAATAATGAGAGTTGAAGTATACTGAAGGCTTACTATGTTCCAGGGCTCTAAGTGTTTTATGTGGTTATCCTATTTAATTATAAAATAGCCCCATCTGGTAGGTATTATCAAATAAGGAATGGTCAGTTTGAAAAGTGAAACAAAATATTAGAAAAATAAACTTATCTTTAATAAAACAGCTTAAAATTACAACTCTGTATTTAAAAAGTAACCATATATTGAGATCAGGTTTCCTTAGGAATAAAGGGGAAGGCAGGGAAGAAGACTCATGATTTTTCTATCAAATAACAGAATAACATAATACTATGCTATATCCTTGCTTTGTACTTAATTTTTGTAGCAGCATCCAAAAATGGTCATTTTAAAAAGAGAGAGAGAGAGAGAGAGAGAGACTTCACTGATTTTTTTTTTTTAGTGTTTTGATATTCAAATTATTTCCCCTGAAGCACCTATCATGGATTCAGATTAAGAAATGAAGGAGAAGAAACTGAAAACCAGTGTATTGTGGCAGACATGGTTTTGCTATTTCTACAACATCACTTTCATTCACTTCATGAAATTCTGTATTAAAAGACTTACAATTTCACTTTGTAATGGATTTATAACTTGTTGGCAACGGGGTATAACTATAAAGACAGGAGACAAGGCCAGGCACATGCCTGCAATCCCAGCACTCTGGGAGGCCAAGGCAGAAGGATTACTTGAGGCTAGGAGTTCAAGATCGGCCTGGGCAACAAAGCAAGAACCTGTCTCTAAAAAAATTGTGTTTTAATTATCCAGGCATGGTGACATGCACCATGGTGGCAGCAGTAGTCCTGGCTACTTGGGAGACTGAGGCAGAAGAATCACTTGAGCCCAGGAGTTCAAGGCTACAGTAAGCTATGGTTACACCACTGCACTCCAGCCTGTGTGACAGAGCAATTCTCTATCTCCAAAAAAAAAAAAAGATAGGAGGCAATTAATTACTATTAATTTTCATGAGGATGTTTGGTAGAATTCTGTTTAGAAGTAGTCAGAATTCATTAGGAAATATTTTCCTCTAAAGATAATTACTCAAAAGGCATCTGAAATACGCATACCCATGTCCGTATATGCAGAGTAAGTTTCCCAGTAGTCATGAAACTGTTAAGAGTGCATTCCTGGAGGAAGCCCCAGAGAAGGGACTGCAGGAGAGGTAAAATGAGGTGAGCAGGGAAGGAGATTTCATGTTCATCTTATATTTCTGAATGTTTTTTCCTTTTAGAATACGTATTCTAGAATTTAAAACATTAATATGGACATATTTCATACTGTATGACTTTCAGAAGTCAATATATATTAATATCCAGGATTAATAATCATTTAGCCAAAAATTATCCTTTCCTAAAGATATGCTTTTGATATTTGAAAGGGATTTTAGTACTCATCATAATACACACATTAAAGTAGCTAACACTTGAAAAACAATTTTTTTTCCCTTTTACTTGGGAAGAATACACTAGGGGGAAAAAAACGTATCTTAGAGAAAAAACATACCTGAACTTCTCTGATTCATTGTTTCGAGACTTTTGTTTTCCTTTATGTTTTGGAGGCTGACCTGTGAACACAAAAGCATTTGTTCCTGAAATCTGTACATAAAAATCTACAAGCCTGAGATTAAAACTACTTTTAAAATGTAAATTGGAGTAAGAAAACAGAAGCAGCAATAACTACAAATGCGTGTAACTACAAATGGGTGGGCCAAAAAAGAAGCTGCTGCTGATGTCTTCCTATGTATGATATATAATAAATTATTAAAAATCAATTATAATAGTGATTGTGACTTAGGTCTACCATAGATACAGACAGATACAGGAGATAGCTCCGTTCTCAGATAGTTTACAATCAGATGGGGTGAAAAGACCTATTACTTCAGCAGTTAAACAACAAATATCCTTATGAAAGAAAATACTGTGTTGCTATTGACATATTAATTCCATAGTCAGTAGCATCTGTCCCAACTCACAAAATGGAAAAATCACTTAAGCTGGAGTGGTTGGGAAAAATGTTAGTGAGGATACAGCATTTGTATTTGGTTTTGAGGAACAAGTACGATTTGGATAGAATGGCCTGAACCCAAGAGCAGAGTTAATTTCAGAAGCACTAAGTAAACCTGTGTGATTTCAAGAGCTCAAAAAGGGTGGAGGCCTGGAAAAGGGCTGCTAAGGCAAGCTGGGGTGAGTGTTTACAGAACCTCAGCTTCAGACCCAGCTCTGTGAGCCCAGCTTTACTCTGCTGGCAGGAGTAGGAAACCACTGCATATTTTTGGGCAGGGAAAGCCATGCTCAGAGCTGTACAGAAGAGCTAGTGTGGCAGGAGGAGCAGGGTGCATCTAATGAAGGTTTAAGGGGAGGGCACAGAGAAAAGTCAGAGCCAAGTTGTAATAAGGAGGGAATGAGAGCCTGGGCTTTGGTGGCCTCAGAAAACAAAGGTAGCTTTTGGAAAGGTAGAAGAATTCCAGTTTGATTTCCATTCTGTGGCCTTGGAATTACGCTAATGTGCTAACCAAACGGAAATGGTCAGTACTAAGTAGCTGCATCTGCGGAACTAACTGAGCCTGAGCGAACATGGCGCTGCAGGTCGCAAAAAATAGAAATGGTTGCTAGAAGCAAAACCATGGAAAGGAAAACCAACCACCTAACAAAAAAGAGAAAGGAAAAGAGATCACTAACTAAAAAAATCAACAATCTCACCTCAAGAATCCTGGGAGGAACACTACCAAGCTTGAGGTGAGTAACTGCTGTGTGTGACCACAACCTTAAGCCGTCAAGAAAACCTGTATTTTTCTAAATTCCATTTTAAAAGACAGGGAACCATGTAATATACTTTAGAAAGATTTTCATTAAACTCTGATGGTACTAAGAAAATTTCAGAAATAAATGAAGCACAAAAATATTCACTTCTCCAGAACCTTCACCTCCAAATGATGCCAAGTAATGAGGTTCTACAGTGTCTAGGTTTGCTATATATGTAAATAAATACATGCACTGAGCACACACAATTTAAAACAAATGAGACTTAGCCTACAGCATTCTTATGGTTTGGACATCTGTGTCCCCCACAAGATTCACATGTTGAAAACCAAATCCTCAAGGCAATGGTGATAGGAGGTGGAATCTTTGGGAGGTAACTAGGTCATGAGGCTGATCTCTCATGAATGGGATTAGTGCCCTTATGAGAAAAGACCCCAGGCAAGGGTGGTGGCTCACGCCTGCAGTCCCAGCACTTTGGGAGGCCAAGGTGGGAGGATTGCTTGAGGCAAAGATTTTGAGACCAGCCTGGCCAGCATGGCAAAACCCTGTCTCTACTAAAAATAGAAAAATTAGACAGGCATGGTGGCGCATGCCTACATGTAATCCCAGCTACTCAGGAGGCTGAGGCACGAGAATCACTTGAACCCAGGAGGCAGAGGTTGCAATGAGCCTAGATCACGCCACTGCACTCCAGCCTGGGCAACAGAGCAAGACTCTGTCTCAAAAAAAAAAAAAGAGACCCCAGAGGGCTGTCTTGCTCCTTCTACTACATGAGGACACCACAAAAAGATGGCCATCAGTGAACCAGGAAGAGGACCCTCAGCAGACATTGAATCCGTTGACATCATGATGATGAATTTCCCAGCTTCTGGAAATGTGAGAAATAAATGCTTATTGCTTACAAGCTAACCAGCTTATGGTATTTTTGTTATAGCAGCATCCATTCTCAACATGGGTGCTATCACCCCCAATAGGGTGAAAATTAGTTATTGGAAACAAAATCTAATTATTTTTATACATAAAGCACAGATGCACATATGGTATATAAACAGCTACTAAAATTTTATGGGAGAGAACAATTAGATTTAAAAACGTCTAAACGGGCTCCTGGTGGTGGGAGGAGGGGAGGCAATAATAAATTTTCAATAATGAGAAACAACAGCCTAAAAAAATTAAGCAGCAGACCAAAAAGAGGTATGTACTTCATCTTTTCCATTCCTTTTATTTGAATATCCAAAATTACATTTACTAAATGATATGAAAAGACTGAGCACTGATTTCAAATAAATATTCAACATTTTCTTAACACAGACGCATTACAAAGTAAAAGGAGAACAAGAGTGGTTATAAGCAAGGCTTGTGCAAATTTTAGGGCATAAAAGTTTAGGAGACTTGGCAAGTTTATTAACTTGGCAACAACTGATATAAAAAACAATACTCACTTGGTGGTGGTGAAAATTCAGGATGACAGTCACAATCATCTACCTTCATTGCCTCATCCACCACCTGCCCATGAAAATAAAAACAGTGAGACTTTAAAAAAAAAAACACAAAAACACAGCCATGAAGAATATAAGAGCTACATTGAAGAATTCAGAATATAATAGGATAGAATTCACCCAAACACCTAAAATATGCAACTGGTTATTAAGCCTAAATGTATAAAGAGGCAAACAAAATGATAACTAACGATGAGGATCATGATAGGTAATGACAAATTCTTGAATGACAATTCTATTTCTGATGCCTGGCATGACGCCTGATGTGACAATTGTTCAGTAACGTCTGAATTAACACCATCACATCTCTCCTTATACTCCTCCCTAACTGAACAAAGTCTCTTGGAAATTTTCAGTATTGTCAACAAGAGGACTTTTCCAACAAGCGAAGAGAGAACATAGGAAGACGTGGCAAAATGATTATTTTAAAAAATATTTTGAAAAGACACAAATGTGATCTCAAAAGAAATTCTGTGACTTTCAAATATTATCTTTATACAGTTGTATGAGATACTCAGATTGTTTATTAAAAAGAGGTCATTCTTTTGGTAGCAATAGGCAAAAAGGGTTCAAATCGCCAAAAATTTAGTTTCTATTTTAACCAAAATATTATTGTAAAAATAGGAGGCAATCTATACTTGAAAAAAACTGTAGTTTTCAATGAAGCTTACCTTTGGATTCTGATTACCACCGTTTGCCATTTTGTGATTAATTTTTCTGAAATCTCTTTCCTTCTCCACAAAGTTAAGTGAAGTACTAAATATACGTCCTGATAAACTCCTAGGTATATAGGCTCTAAATGGGGGAAAAAGAAATGAATTATTACACATTTTTTAAAAAGTTATCCTTCGAATGAACAGGTTGCAGCAATCACAGCTTTTTTCCTTGAAAAGATTTTCTACCTCTGAGATGGGGCTTTATACATAAACATTATTATAAATTTGGTATTAAACTCAAAAAAATAAAGTTAAGGGCTGGGCATGGTGGCTCAACACCTATAATTCCAGCACTTTGGGAGGCCAGGGCAGGTGGATCATCTGAGGTCAGGAGTTCAAGACTAGCCTGGCCAACATGGTGAAACCCTATCTCTACTAAAAATACAAACATTAGCCAGGTGTGGTGGCGTGCACCTGTAATCCCAGCCACTGGGGAGGCTGAGGCAGGAGAACTGCTTGAACCCAGTAGGCAGAGGTTGCAGTGAGCCAAGATTGTGCCACTGCACTCCAGCCTGGGTGACAGAAGGAGACTCTCAAAAAAAAAAAAAAAAAAAAGAACAGTTCAAAAAAAGCATTCTGGGTTCTAACATTTAAATACCAGCCAGGTGCAGTGGCTCAAGCTGGGCACAGTGGCTTACTCCTGTAATCTCAGCACTTTGGGAGGCCAAGGCGGGCAGATCACTTGAGGTCAGGAGTTGGAGACCAGCCTACCAGCCTGACCAACATGGTGAAACCCCATCTCTACTAAAAATACAAAAATTAGCTGGGTATGGTAGCAGGTGCCTATATTCCCAGCTACTCAAGAGGCTGAGGCAGGAGAATTGCTTGAATCCTGGAGGTGGAGGTTGCAGTGAGCCAAGATCACACCACTGTACTCCAGCCTGGTTGACAGAGCGAGACTCCACCTCAAAAAATAATAAATAAATAAATAAATACCTATGTCCTTGTGTTAAATTTAAATATCCTAATTTAAGTTAAATTAGGATAAATTAAATTCAAAGCCTCCACAGCCAATTTCTTTATGTCTACATGTTCAGCATGCTACAGAATTAGCAGTTTCAATATCCCAGACATCTGAACAAGCATGCAGAAAAACATTTAACCTGTTCTAATTGCCAAATGAACAAAGGTAGAACCCTGGCTGCTGTTTTCTTGTGAGCATACTCAAGTCTGTCTGTTGCCTATTTCTAATAGGAAGTATCTTAGCCTTTGAAAGACATCAGGAAGCTGGAAGTATTAGGTTCATGCAAAAGTAATTGTGGTTTTTGCCATAGATGTTTCTAAAATAGAGGTGAAGGGCACAGGGCATAGGCTGTGTCCCAGCTCTCTGCTGCCAGAACCTTCATGGCTAAACTGGTATTATTCAAGCATAGTACCGTTCAGTTAACGTTTCACTTCTCTTTTCCCATAGGATTATGTATGCTACTGGGCTTATAGCCACATGATTCAGTAAAACAGCAAAATAACAACTTACAGGTCACCTGATAACACAGACACTTAAAATACCACCTCTTTCTCTTCCACCTCCAACTTTAGTGTGGTTGCTATTAGCTCCTAAAGCACCAAACATAAATGATTCTTAAATTCACGGGGCAAAGCCAATCCTAGTAGCAGCTACTGACCTGCTATTAACTTACCTGTTTTCGTAAAAGGCTTTAATTGGATTCTTATTTGCTGTTCGACCTATAAAAGTCAATCACACACACACACACACACACACACATAGTAATCAGTGGATTGGCAACATAGACTTTAAAAGATTTTCAAATTTCCTTTAAGCTGATTGATAGTAAGGAACATCAAATTTAGAAAACTGAAAAGTAAACCTAAGAAATTTTACATTTCTAGATGTCTTTAGTTTTAGGATGGTGTCAACAAAATGTTACACAAACCTGGTATGACATTCCACCACATGTGATCACTGACAAGATGACAGCAATATGTAAATCTGAATCAGAGGTGGTACCTGTCTTCAAGGAGCTCACAATCTTATTACATAATCCTATCACATATATATATATACACATGCTGGTCAAACAGAGCTGTTCAGCTCAGCTTTGTACGACCCAAAGAAGAAAAAGCAGGAAAGACTCATACGCTAAAAATGTAGACTAAGGGAGAAAGCAAAAGACTTAGAAAACAAGGGCAGAATGAAAATCTACAACTCCTAGCCTGGACAGCCAATTTCTGCTATATATATAAAAAACATAAGTGTGTGTGTATATATATATTTATTTATATTTATATATATATATGTATACATATATATATATATATGTTCAGCACACTAAAGAATTAGCACAAACGTGCAGAAATATCAAGCAGCTCTACTGAAGGGTCTTTTCTTGAGGAAATTACTTTAGCAATGAAGGAAGTATTTTTAAATACTTTTGTTTCAAAAAGCATTTATTTTATTCAGAATTTCTGAAAGGGATTTTTTTTCTACAGAAGAATAAAGAATAACAACTTGGTTGCTGTCTGTTTCAAATAAAAAGTACAAATCATTTATAATTATCTAATGGATAATACATAACTCTACACAGAAATGAAAAACCCAAGTGCCATGACCAAGAGAACATGATAAAATAAGGATAAATTATCTGAGGATTGATTTGTGGTCCTTCATTAATCCAAGAAACCCACGTTCCAAAGTTTGAAAGGGATTTGACTGTAACCAAAAGAATCTTAGGTGAAATACCTTGCAGGTCTTCTATTTGTTTTTGTAACTTTACATGCTGCTGAATTAGATCCTTGATTCCCTCAGGGTCATTTTTACAGAGTTTTTGAGCTTTAATGTTTGCTTGCAGGGCCCAGTCATATTCCCCCAGCATAGAAAGAGCATCACAATAACGATAATGACCCTGTTCCAAAAAGATAAATTTAATTTTTTCTCAAAAATATGCTTCGGTTAAAGAAAATAGATAAGGAAAAATATTGTGCTTGAAAACCGATTCATTACTTAAAATATTAGATTAGGTCCCTACCAATGAAAAATAAATTTAAAATGTTAATACCTCAGGAAATAAAATTACCTAATGAGCTAAGTGAAAAGTTATAAATAGACAAATAATTACAATAACTAAGGATCGATTATTTTTGCTTAAGAAATTTCTGTACCCTCAGCAAAGAATTTAATTTTTGTTATATTTTGCTAATAAAGAATATAAGTTTGTGCCAAAGTAAAAAGTGTCATTCATTATAAATAACTTCATGTTTTTAAAATATTTGAAGGCAATAACAGTCTCTAAGTCATCGTCTTTCCTACACCTGGAAATGGAGAGGTTTAGAGCTGAATGGAACAATCAGCCTGTGTGGTGGTTTTCTCATACTCCAAAGAGTGCAGGTAGGTAGGGGATGTGCTCAGGCTAGATATTCCATCCAGCCCTCCCACCTTCAGTAAGCTTTTCATTGTTATCTCTCAGATCTTCCCTTTAAGAAGCCAAAAACCAGGGACTTACATTTAATTCCAACGACAAGGGTTTTTTGCTACAGAACCAAAATCCTTGCTGGCCCATTTACATATTCTGGAAATCTTCTATATCAAGCATAAACTTTTTAATCTACAAAGCTAATAGTACCAAAACCTGAGGCTAACTGAACCAACCCGGCTTCTAGCTCCTCACAAACCAAATTCCCATTTTAGGCGCAGGACTACTGGAAAGGTGATTTGCTAGTGAAAGAGGCTAGAGGTTAGAAACTAACCTAATACCACGCTTACTTAAGAGGCAAACCAAAGATTGGATTTTATGACACCTGGTCCAAAGCTCTTTCCTCTTCACTACACATTTCACAAGAAACACTGAGATTCAGTGAAAATCTGGGAGAAATTATAAAATAAAAAATAAGCAACTCTTTTAAGAAGGATCAGCTTTTCACTAGAAGCCAGAAACAATTAGGTAGGCATGTATTTATGCAGGTTTACCATAAGTGATCCTGCTCTGGTGTATCACGTGGATCTAAAGGTTCTGGAGTCTTTTTAGACAGACTATTTGGGCTTAACTCAGACTCCAATTAATATGGCATTTCACTGAACTCTGCTTTGCTGAAAGGGTATAGGCCATGCTTCCTGACACCTGAGGTATAAGAAGACAAAGGGATCTCTTAGGATACAAGGTGAAATCCTATCCCCTAAGCATTTACTGATTTCAGTGTTTAAATAACTGCATTTTAAAAAACCACAGCTAGCATAAGAAATAATGATAGATCATAAACGAAACCCACGAAATTTGTAGAGAACACTTTATTTCTCTTTTCTCCATACTTTTATCACCTTTTATTGGATCCTTTGCCCTAAACCCTATAAACCTAGTGTAACTCCTGTTAGGAAAATAGTTAATTCAGACCTCCCTGCTGAAGGAAGTTGTTTCAATGAAGCTTAAATTAAAGGTACCTTAGAGTTTCTGAAACTCAATTACAACAGAAAGGTTTGCTCTTCTTTTCACAATCTCATTCTCTATCACATACATGAAAATGCCCTATTGCTCATCTCCCTAGCCTCCCCTCACTTGGGGCGGCGACCATGTTCCCACTTCTCACAGTAACAGCAGGACTGTCAGCTCCAGTACTCCACCCTAACAGTGGACAGCAGGGTGGAAGTGTGGCTGTGACCCAGGAGACTGCCCAATTGAAATGCACTACTTTCCAGGTCAAGGCAGTAAATCTTGCCTTGGTTGCCACAGGCGGGCACATGGCTCAATCAGAACCAATCTGGCATCCCTCAGGTCTACCATACAGACACTTATGTTAATTCCAGGGAAAGGCAAGAAACGTTCGCCTTTCCCTGGAATTAACAGCTACTCATGACATCAGTTTGGGGTTCCCGCTACCTGGTAAAAGGTTTTTAAAAATAAAGCCCAGAGAGCCTACACTCTAAGCCACACTTCTAACCAAAATGGAGTAACAAGGATTTGATTTTTCCCCTCCCACCTAAAACAAACAAAGACAAAAGACACGAGCTTGCAAGACACTGAATACAAGGCAACAAAAGAGAGTAGCCCCTGAGAGATGAAAAACATACAAAGTAAGCCTTGTGATTGCTCCAGCTTACCGATGAGAAAGTCTCTCAGCCAGAGGATGGGGAGAGAAAACCTAGGCAGACCGGCAGTCTCTCTCAATTAAGGAGATAGAGGCGAGAGTCTAGGGGACCAAGGCAGCTGAATTCACAAAGCAGAGGGCCAGAGAAGAGAAAGCTGCACACAAGGAGAACTCCAGAGGGACCCCTTGAGTGTTCGGCTAAGTGCCCATCAGCACATGCCTGGGGAAACAGTCCACCGCCAGGGAAAGAACCACCTGAAAGGCTCACAGGGAACAAAAGCCAGAACTGAAACAAATCAGGAATAATTCCTGTTCCCACCAACAAGAGTGAAAAATACCGTAATTCATGGGGTGAATTCTCTACTTCACGCAGAGTACTCAGAAAAAAATTTACTTCAGTAGTGGGGAAAAAATTAGCCCTGGATTAAATGCCGCTATAGTCTCACCTAAAAAACTCTTAAAACAAGACCTTGAAGTAAACTGTTTCCAAGTAACTTTACTGGCTCTCCAAACAAAGATCAAGAATATTTAAGAAAAACAAGAATATATAGCACCAAACAAGGTAAAATTTACATCTGGCATCCAGTTACCAGCTAGGCAAAGAAGGAAAATATGACCTATATTGAAGAGCAAAACAAACCAATTGAACAACCCACAAATGACACAGATGACAGAATTAGTAGACAAGGACACTGACACACTTATTATAACTATCTCCCATGTGTTCCAGAGGTTAAAGGAAAGATGGAATATGTTCAAGGCATGAAATATATAAGAAAGACCCAAATTTAACTTCTAGAGATGAAAACTACAGCATTTAAGATGAAAAATACACTGAATGGACATAAAGGCAGATAAAACACCACAAGAAAAAGATGAGTGAGTGTGGAGAGTTAAGAAGATAATCCAGGTAAAATCAGAGAGGGTAGCTAGAAAAAGACTAAACATGAAGCTGACAAACAGGGAAGCAAAGTTGAGAAAAGAAAAATATGTACAAATCTGGATCCAACCATTCCTGAACCTAAACCCTAGACTTTTCAGTCACATGAGCCAATTAATTCCCTTTTCTACTTAAGTCAAATCTGAATTTGGTTTTTGTTATTCACAAACAGAAGTCTCAAAGTATCCCTCAAAATTTAAATGTTCTTGAGAACATTTCTGAGGAGGGCATTTCTGAGGTTATTTTGTATCCTATAGGACATAGACCAAAACACAATGTACATAGACATGTATAAACATATCTTTTGATGCTAATAAAAATCTCACTCTTCAGGACATGTGACTCACCCTTTCTAAATCCTGAAAGTAAGTCTAGAGACAGGTGATGTTGTACCAATCTTCCCCATTAAGAAGAAGAAAAAAATATGGCCCACCCTCACTTAGAAATCTACAGAGTACATTCTCTGACACGCTTATATCTGAGAGGTAAGACTCCATAGACTTAAGCTCATAACTAATTCTAAAGTAAGGCAATCTTATGCACCCTGTATGATCTACTTTTGCTCTGAAGTTTAACCTTCAATGAGCATTCTTTTCTGGGATTAAAAAAGAAGAAGAAGAAAAATAACCTAGTTATGCAGTTACCAAATTTCTAAAATACTTACTAGTGGTTATATGTTTTTATCTACACAAATATTTCTGCAATCATATGACACATCACCAAACATTCCAGTTTAAAAAAAGAGTGGATAGCAGAGGGTGGGGGGATTGGGGAGGAATAACATTAGGAGCAATACCTAATGTACATTATGGGGGGATGGACGCAGCAAACCACCATGGCATATGTATACCTATGTAACAATCCTGCCCAAGCTGTACATGTACCCCAGAACTGAAAGTATAATAAAAACAAAAAAGAAAAAAAAAAAAAAACAATGACTATTTTGTTTAAGAAACTAAGCGAGGAACAAGTATCCTCCACAAAGTTCTCAAAATAATTGTTAAAGTTTTTTTCTTTTACTTTTTCTATTTTTGAAGTGGTGCAATCATAGCTTGCTGTAGCCTCAACTTCCTGGGCTCAGGTGATTATCCCACCTTAGCCTCCCAAGTAGCTGGGACTACTGGCACATGCCACTACGCCCAGCTAGTTTTTTGTATTTTTTGTAAAGATGTGGTTTTGCCATGTTGCCCAGTCTGGTCTTGAACTCAAGGGATATGCCCTTGAGTTCCTAAATACACATTCCTAAACCTGCATCACAATTTTGGAGAAAAGCAAAGAAATCTGTCTTTTAAAAACAGTCTCCAGGCTGACTTTTCCCTTTTACTTTACACTCTGCTATATTCTATTTTTCTTTTTAATCATGTGATATTTATAATATAAACAAAAGTTCATTTCAAAAAAAATTAAACAAAATAAATTCCTACAATTAATCTAATGAAGGCTATTTGCAGAGCAGTAATGGAAGTATCAAATGAGATTAAATTATCTAAGGCCTTAAAATTCTGATTCTACTTGCATTAGTTTTTAATTATGTAAAACCAGGAATGAAGTATGAAATAACATGTGCCTTTCTATATCTTATTTAAAGCTCTACTTTAAAAAAAAAATTTTTTTTTTTTTTTGAGATGGGGGAGTTTTGCTCTGTCACCCAGGCTAGAATGTAGTGGTACGATCTTGGCTCACTGCAACCTCCACCTTCTGGGTTCAAGTGATTCTCCTGCCTCAACCTCCTGAATAGCTGGAACTACAGGCATGCGCCACCACACCCAGCTCATCTTTTTGTATTTTTTTTAGAGACAGGGTTTCACATGTTGGCCAGGCTGGTCTTGAACTCCTGACCTCAAGTGACTTGCCCGCCTCGGCCTCCCAAAGTCCTAGGATTACAGGCATTAACCATTACACCTGGCATCTAAAACTCCACTTTTTTTAAAAAAAAAAAAAAAGGAGATTTTTATAATTTAGGAAAATATGGAGACTAATTCACAGGTAGCCAGTATTAACTGTCAACACTTTGTATATTTGCTTCCGATTTTTTAATGAAAGAAATAAAACTATACAGATATGGCTGAAATCTCCTTTGTACCCTCTCCAATCTCATTTCTCTCTCTTACTGCCCAGAAGCACACACTAATCATGAACTTGATGTTTTTCCAGCCTATGTCATACTTCTGACTTTTTCATTTAACACTTTTTAAAATCCATTAAATGTTGATAAGCCAGTTAATTCAACTGCAATCTACTATTTGATTCATTCAATCACTAAGTCAACAATTATTTACTAATGAGTGCCTGCTAAGTATCAGGCACTTGTCAGACAGTCTGGATTCAAGAGTGAAGTGAACTAAACACCAAAAAAAATTTTTCCTTGTGGAGCTCATGTTATACTGCAAGACACAAAATAGCAAATATAGCTCAAACAGTAGATATAATATATTCAATAATGATAAGTCCTAGGAGGAAAAAAATAAAGCAGGGAAAGAAGATAAATGCATAGGAAGTGAGGTGTCTGGCATTTTAGTAATGTGGCCAGGGAATGTTTCGCTGAGAAGAGTCCTTTTCAATATTGACTGAAAGGAAATAAGTGGGCTGGCTAATGCTCTGGGGACAAGCATTCCAGGCAGAGGGAAGGGCAAGCACAAAGTAGAAGTAGGCCTGGCATGTCTGAAGAACAGTGAGGAGGCCAAGAGGCCAAGGTAAAGTAAACCAGGGACAGAACAGTAGGAGGTAGGTTGGGGAAATAACAGGTGTTCAAGATAGGGACAGATCAGACAGGTCAGAGTAACAACTTTGATCAAGGGAAAATACCACATTTATCTGCTGTTTTATTAATAGACATGTAAGTATTTGCAGTTATATGCCATTAAAACAATGCTGCAATAACCAACCTTGTATATCTCACCATGTGCACATTTGAAGAAACTGTCTAGGGTACACACACTCAGAATCAAGTAACTGTGGTGTCTGTCTTGTCAGAGTGCTCCCTGAATTGGTTGTAAGCAATCACACTCCTACCAGTTTACTGGGGCTCCCTGTTACTACATGCACTCACCAACACTCAGGACTATGAGGCTTTTTTAATTTCTGCCAATCTGAAGGACTCAAACAGTATCACACCATGATATTTACTCACATAGTGGGTTCTGTGTGAAAGCCTTCCATTCGGCACTATTGGTTACATTTTTCTATCAGTGTATTAAATCCCTACAATTTTAATTACTAGGAAGTAGAAATAGTTTCTTATTTCTATTGGCTCTTCAGGATTACTCTTCTGTGAAATGCTTGTTTTACTGCCCCATTTTCTATTGAGTTTCTTATTTATTTTGGGAATTATGTGCATTTTCTGGCTATAAATCCTACCAGCTATATATGTGGCAAATTATCTCCTCAAACTACAATTTCATCCATGGTGTCTGTTGACATACACAAGTTTTTAAGCATGATATAGCCAAATATATCAAGGTGGCTATTTTCACTGCTGATTTGTGCACTGTGCTAAGAAATCTTTTCATGCCTCCTATAAAAACAGCCTCCTACACTTCCTTCCAGTTTTAAGTCATTTTTCATATTCAGGCACATCCACCCAGAATAAGCAGGGATGACCTCTCAATCACTAAGACACCCTCAAGACTCAAGATGGCCCATGGGCTGGCTGCCTGTCCTCACACACAGCCTTTCACTGCTGTGGCTGGGTCCTCATGCTGATCATGCATCTGATGACTCCTCTTTCACATTCTGGAGCTCTACATAGTATCATATAGCATTTTTATGAACAAACACATCCATGAACAGATTTTTCACAGTGTTATATGGCATTATTTGCTCAATGTAAAATATGGAAGAAACCTACCTTTGGCCAAGTGCTCTTCAGAATAATGGCTCTCTTTCCATCACTGAGGGCATTTCTAAAAAGAAAAACAATTAAGTATTTTAAAATTTTCACTCTTTTATAGTAAAAGTATTATGTCTTGCATATATGTATTCTGTGAATTTTCCACGTATGTTATCTAGTCAAAAGATAATCATAATTTTTAAAAATCCATATAATATACGTCCATTATAGGAAATTTGGAAAATACAGAAAAATAAGACAAAGGGAAAAAGTCACCCAGAGTCACAATCACAACTACCCAGGAATAACTACTTTTAGTATTTCTGAAGTATTTCTTCCACATATTGACATAGTATCTATGCATAACATTCTTATTTGTATGTTTTTCTGTACTATTTCTGTAAGTCAGTAAGACTTCTGATTTCCAGATGTATCACTACCAGGTCTTTCACACAACACATCAGCTAAGCTACACTGAACAGAGCATGGAAGCTGGACTATAAGACCTGGGCTGGTCTAATTTAATCATTAATTTTCTTGGGGCTATTAGGAAGTTATTAACATCTCTGGGAAGTTATTACATCTGTAAAATGTGGATAATTCTGTTCTATCTGTTCTGAGGTAGATATTAAATTAGATACTACATTATTAAATGTACATTAATAACCTATCAAGTACTAACAGATCCATACCTAACAGTTTCCTGGATTCCTTATCTTCAATGACTTCCTCCTCTAGCCCAACTCAGCCACCCATCACTGCACCCCTGGAATTCAGCATCACTCAAAGCTGTTCGAACTTGAAACTGTTCAAACACTGATTCAGGTATCCAAATCTCACTATAACCTTTCTTATCCCATCTTACTTGTTCAACTGTTCTTGTCTCCTCAAGGTACCCAACTCACTGACTTATTCACTTTGTTTTTTTAACCTAGATTAAGATTTGCTGGTTCATCATTTCACATTCATATTTATGCTAATTCACTCTTAAAAAGAGATTAAAACAAAACTAGATAACTTATACTACCAGCTATCAATACATACTAGAAGGTTACATTAAAAAAAAAAAAAAAAAAAACTCAACTAGATAAAGATAGGCAACCTGACCAACAAAACAAAGAAACTAGCAATGGATCTTTACGCATAATCACCTGATTCATGACAAAGGTGACACTGCAGTACATAGAGAAAATACACTCTTTTAATAACGGTGCTGGGTAAATTGGACATCCATATGAATCTTTTTTTTTCTTTTCTTTTCTTTGAGAAAAAGTCTCACTCTGTCACTCAGGCTGGAGTGCAATGCCAGTCCCCCTCACTACAGCCTTGACCTCACAGGCTCAAGAGCTTCTCCCACCTCAGTCTCCTCAGTAGCTGGGACTATAGGCACATGCCATCATACCTAGCTAATTTCTGGCTAATTTTTAAATTTTTTGTAGAGACAGGGTCCCACTATGTTGCCCAGGATGGTCTCAAATTCCTGGGCTCAAGCAATCCTCCTGCCTTGTTGTCTCATGTGCTGGGATTATAGGCATGAGCCACCGCACCTGGCCCATATGAATCTTCAGCACTACCTCACGCTAAATACAAACACAAGGTCCAGATGGACTGCAGATCTGTATATCAAAGTTAAACAATCAAACCTTTAGATGAAACACAGAAAATCTGGTGACCTTTGAATAGGTAAAGATGGTAAACAGAACACAATAAGGACTTATCACAAAGGAAAAATTGATAAACTGTACTACATTAAAATTAGTAACTTGTTTGTGAAAAGAAAACATCAACAGTGAAAAGGCAAGCCACTGAGTGTGAGAAGATATTTGTAATACATATATCTGGCCAATGACTCATATTCAGAATACAAAACAAAAGAAAAACTCCTAAAAATGAATAAGGCATTCAACTCAAAAGAAAAAAAATAGCAAAAGACCTTAACAGGCACTTCACAAAAGAGAATATCCAAATGGTCAATAACCTTATGAAATCCCAAACATCCTTATTCATATTTATGAAAATGCAAATTATAATGACAGTGGTATACCAATACATATCCACCAAAATGTCTAAAATAAAAGATGAAAAATAATAAGTGTTGGTGAGGGCACAGAACTGAAACTCTCATATGCTGCTTTAAGAGTACAAAATGATAACCACACAGGAAAGCTAAATGCATATAAGCATAACCTCTGTCCCAGCAATTCCATTCCTTGATTATACACTCAACAGAAATGAATACATATGTTCACAACAATACTATCTGTCAAAACCAAATATGAGAAGCTACACAAATGCCCATCAACAATGGAATGGATAAAATGTGGTACATTCATGCAATAGATGAACACTTTACGACTACATGCAACACAATATGGATCTCAAAAACGATGCTGAAAACCAAACATAAAAGAACACATAGTATAGTATTTCGTTTACATTGCACTAAAACAGGCAAGATTAACCACTGGAAGCCAGGATGGTAGTTCTCCTCCTCCCGGGGGAGGAGGCGAGTCGCGACTCGGAGGAGTAACAAGGGGATCTGCGTGCTGGTTACAGTTGTTTGGCTTCTGAAAATTCCATCTATACACTTAACACTTGTATACTTTTCAGCAAGTGTATTAAGACTTTTTTTTTTTTTTTTAAGGATATAAGACAAAGTTGTCCTTCTGCTGATGTCTGAATTACAGCAGCCATCCTACATTCTGAGAGGACAGCCTGAGGACCAAGTCGCACGCTGAGGCTGGAAAAATCTAAGCCTCTGATGACACTGTTGAGCCACTGAATATACAACCCTAGTGCCACTGTCCTGTGGAACTCTTGAACGAAGTAAGTTTTCTTTACCACTTAAACCAGTTGAATCAAGTTTCTGTTACCTACGGCCAAAAACATCCTAATCCAATGGCACACCTCTTAGGCTCCACACGTGGGTCTCTCTTCCCAAATACCTTTAAAAGCTGCCTATGCCTTGGGAGGCCGAGGCGGGGAGATCGCGAGGTCAAGAGTTCAAGACCAGCCTGGCCAAGATGGTGAAACCCGTCTCTACTAAAAAACTAAAAAAAATTAGCTGGATACAGTAGCAGGTGCCTGCAATCCCAGCTACTCGGGAGGCTGAGGCAGGAGAATCGCTTGAACCCGGGCAGCAGAGTTTGCAATGAACCAAGATCACACAACTGTACTCCAGCCTGTGTGACAGAGTGACAGAGTGAGACTCCATCACACACACACACACACACACACACACACAAACCAAAAACAAAAAACTGCCTGTGCCAGTTGTCTCCATTTCCTCTCATTTCTCAATCCCAGCTAACTGGCATCTGTTCCAAGCTTCCTACTGACAGCTTTCCCTATGGTTTATGAATGATGTCCATGTTGCCAAATGCAAGTTTCACTGTAACTGGCTTCTCAGTAGCCAACAGAGACACTGTTCACCACCCTTTCACTTACTTCTATGACACCACACAATACTACACTTAGTCTTTGTTCCACCTTTCTGGCCACCTTTTAATACTCCCCTGGGCAGGCTCATCCTTCTCTAATTGGCCATATGTGTTCAAGGCTCAAATCTGATTTCTCTCCTAGTATCAGCCTGGGTTCTCTGTAGACCAGTGGGTCTCAACCTTAACTGCACATTAGTACCATCTGGAAAGCTCGTAGAAGCCCAATGCCCAAAGTTTACTCTAGATTAATTAAATCAGAATCTCTGGGGTGGGTAGTATTTTTCAAAGTTCGAGTGATTCCAATGTATAGTCCAGGCTAAGATACACTTCTCTAAGCAATCTCACCCACATCTACAACCTCAAATCATGGAGGCTAACTATCCCAAACACGTCTCCTGTCCAAATTCTCCCTTGAGTTCCAGACCCATATAACTCACTACCGATACAACACTGCAATTTGGATGCTTCAAAGGCACTTCTTTTTTTTTTTCTTTTTTTTTTTTTTTTTTTGATACAGAATTTTGCTTGTCGCCCAGGCTGGAGTGCAATGGCGCGATTTTGGCTCACTGCAACTTCGGCCACCCGGGTTCAAACAATTCTCCTGGCTCAGCCTCCTGAGTAGCTGAGATTACAGGCACCCACCTCCATGCCCAGCTAATTTTTGTATTTTTAGTATAGACGGGGCTTCACCACGTTGGCCAGGCTGGTTTCAAACTCCCGACCTCAGGTGATCCTCCTGTCTCAGCCTCCCAAAGTGCTGGGATTACCCAAAGGCGTGAGCCACCGTGCCTGGCCTTCAAAGACACTTCAATTCGGTATGTCCAAGAGTGAAGTCCAGTTCCATCTCCTACAAATTTATTCCTCTGCCAGCAATTCTGCTGGGAGTTGGCCCATAATCCATGACATTGCTTAAGGCAAAAATGTCACAACAGTTCCAACCACCTTCACTCTCACATTCCAACACCAACCATGAGCAACTTCTGTCAACTTCACCTCTAAACTCTTGAATCCTTCCACTTTTCCATTTCCACTGCAAATATTCTGCTCAAAGCCTAGACTACTCCAGCAGCCTCCTAACCTACATCCACACTACATCCCATTCAGATCCATTCTCATCATGCTCAAATAATTTTTTATTAAAGTATTAATCATGCTCTCCTAAGTTTAAAATTCTTTACTGTCTTTCTTACTGCTCTTAAGGGCCAAAAGCCTTAACACAGCCTACAAGAACTTCCTTGGCTTAACCTCTGACCATATTCCCCTCTCCTCTATATTTAGGCCATCTAGCAATTATCAGTTCCACAAATGCAACACACTCCTTCCCACTACAGGCCCTCACAATGCCAGCCCACTGTCTGAAACACAGAGGCTGTTTTTGCTAATTTCTGACATTATCCATCAACAGAACCCCAATATTTGTTGAATCAATGATTACTTATTATAATATACAGTACTACAAACAGTATTGTTTTAACAGCACATATTAGAAATATCATAATATCTATAGGTACATGAATGCAATTAATACTAATAAATTTTCACATTTACTGGCATATGGCCACATCCTACAACTAAGGCAAAGTGGGCACAGTCAAGTTACATGACACCATTGCTTATCCAGACCACAGCAGCT